TGCTGGCCACAGAGATGGTGAAACGTTAGGAAGAACAGCCTTCAGAACACGGCCTAAGAGCCTGAAAAACCCACCACAACCATTAGATATCAGCCGTGAAAGCCTTGGCGAATACATTGGCAGCTTTCTACAGCCTGAAGACATAATACATAACTTCTACATAAATTATATTGGCCAGACTCCTATTGGTTATTTATGCTGGTGTTAGTGCAGTAAGGCAAATACATTGTCAGCTTTCTACAGCCTGAAGACGTAATACATACCTTCTACATAAATTATACAGTATTGGCCAGACTCCTTTTGGTTATTTATGCTGGTGTTAGTGCAGTACTGTAAATCATGGTAGCAAGTTGTTACTAGTTAACAAGTTGCCAGTTGCATTTCTGAACACATGTAAAGCAGTTGACATGCAACAAAAAATACAAGTGGGAACTCGTTGACTATAAGCAATTCATGGTTGCAATTTAAACTGTTGCACTTACACTAGTATAAATAACCAACCGGATTCTGGCCATTGTCATAGAGAGGCATGACTTTGAGCCCCAGAAGCCAAAGCCATTTCTCTGGAAACTTTCCAGGACAAACAAAGGCTCTGCAAAGTAGGCATTTGCCATTGCTCATTACTCAACAACCCAAACCAGGAGATTCTCTAGAATCAGTAGATCCCCATATGAATACACATGCATGCACACCTGCGTGCGCACACAGCCTATCTAATCATGTTTTGTTTGAAAACAGAAGAGAGAGAACAAGCTAAATTATACAGATAGATCAGTGAACCTCTTTTTGGAAACACAGATAGGGCAAAATAAGCAAGCTAATTAGCATGAGCACATACTGTACTTACTTTAAGACAAACCTTCCAGGGCCAAGTCATCAGAACATAGGGTAGAGCTTGCACACACTACCCTTCCAAAGATCATTCAGCAGGATAACATCAAGACATCCTTCACACTGATGACATCAAGGGGATTAACCTTTTCTTTTTAGTAGTAATCTATAATAAGACTGATGCAACCAAAAAACCCCCATCAAAATCAGTAAAAAACAGAATATTCTTAAACGCTGGTACACCACCTGAAGCAACTTTTCAGATTAATAGGTCTCACCAGTTAGCAGGCCAGTCAGAACGACAGCTAAGCTAAGCAGGTGTGTTCATTTGGGAACAATCTCCTAAACTGTCAAGGCAGAGCTTCTACTAAGACTCACAAGGTAGGACAAAAAGATCAAAGTTTGATTTCTTCCTTGAGGCATTTACAAAATGCAAACACCAAGAAGGCATCCCAGGGGAGGCACCATTCTAAGTCATTTGCAATAGCCTGGAAGAATAGAGCCAAAGTCCACCGGTTCTGAGTCGTCCGGAATTTACCAACAGTAGAACCCTCCCCAGCCTTGGAACGGTACCAGTAACTGCACCTGTGGGATGAGAACCAACACTGCAAGACTGAATAAAATGTAGGTACAAAATAGCAATGGTCCGCAGCATAGCCAATTCCAGCCTAAGGAAACTGAATTTAGGACCAGGCAGAACCACCAAGAAACGTACCAGGCAAACTGTTCAGACTTCATTTACAGAATAAAAAAAGAGACAGGCCTAACAGGAAAAGAACAAAATAATTTAAATTAAAAAGCAAAATCAGGTTAAAAAAAAGATGGTAAGTGTAAAAATCACCCACACAAGAAATATAACAAAGCTATCCTAGTTTCAGCTGAACACTGAGAGACCTAACAGAGCAACACAGCAAAATGTCTTTCTTATCAACAGAATCTGAGTGTCCTGCTAAACTGAGGAATTAAACTAACTTTATACCCTATTGGGGATTCTTGGTGGACTTTCTTTAGCCAATCAAATTAAGTTTTCCACCATACTTTCCAGAAAGCATGTGGCCTGTACTCTCTCCCAGGTGAATCAGGGGCAATTTACAATTTCACTTTGTTATAAAACTTTGTGCTTGAGGTTCTGGGCTTATCTCTTCTCAGTCCAGATGGCTCCCTATCTTTCTCTCTCCCAGTTCCTTAAGTCAACTTTCCCACCACCTTCTGGCACCTTAAGATAGAACTAGTCAGGTGCTTTAGGGCCAGGGCACAATAAATGATTCCTTTGGTGTTATTATTTAGGGCTTGTCTCTGGATTCCTTCACAATATTTAAAAATCTATGAAAGGAATAAATTTCTTCTAGGTTGGTGATGGCTTCCGACGTTTGAAAACAAACAAACAACTGCTGCCCTTATATATTCTGTATTTCTTCTGCATTTCTGATGTATTTCTGGTATTAGCAATTCACAGCTGCTGAATGCACAGACATTTAACTTATATGTCTGCTGATGATGGGGGGAAATGATTTATTTTCATTTCTGTCAAATGCCACAGGGAAATGCAGCAGGCAAGTCTGGTTTTAGTCCTTGGAGAGTCCACAGCCTTCTAAGGCAGATTATTCTATTAATGGAGCACTAATAAACCTTAAACAGAGAAACTTGAACAATAAGGAAAATCTGTTCCCTGTAAAGTTTAATACCATACATATATAAAAGGTTCATGGGCACACGCATGCACGCACGCACACACACCTCTGCAGTTTTTTGAGGCTGCACTGATGATTAGCATGAGGTCAATAATACCTCATTTTATTCTGATATTAATCACAACTAATCATGTCCAGTCTCCCAGCCCCTTGTTAAAATAAATTTCTCTTGCAGATCTGTGTCCCCTCATGAAGCTATTACAGCCCACCACACACAAGAAAACTAACAAGATGCCTAGTGAAGGGCTAAGATCAATGAAAGGCACTTGAGCATTAACATGCCTCACAATATTCATTATTTTGAATAAGCTTTTCTTTGTCATGTTGACCCAATCCAACAGCAATGGAAAGCATCAGTGTCTATTGATACATTGCCCGTCTGTGGTATTTACAATGACACGTAGATAGACTCTGGCTATGATAATTATATGAAAATAAGGGTTCTCCTACCTGGCCCTTAAAAAAATAACATACAATTAATTTTACACACTGCTTTATCTTAGATTAGTCCATCTATCCATGTGCAGTATTGGCAACTCTGACTCTCTAGGATTTCAGATGGGAATTGGTCCTATCCCTTGCCTGGAGATTCCAGTAAATAATCCTTCTGTATACAAAGCACATGGTCTACCATTATGCTACAACCTCACTGTTGCCTCAACCAGTGGGCAGGTTCTGGGGCCAGCTCACCACCCCCTGTCCTAGGATGCCCTGCCAGATCAAACATAATTTATTTAAGACAACAGACAAACCATAATTATCTAAAATAATCTTGGGCATTGGTGATCCTATAAACAAAGAAGCTAACAACATTGTCTAGAATTGCCACTGCACTGGCTATCCCTCCCCAATACATTACTTATTATGTAATTAACTAAGATAGCTTTGCCACTGGAATGCCTCACGGTGTCTAAACTGTCAGAGGCTTCCAGAGACTAAAAGATGACCTTTGCTTCCTTTCCATTAAAATGTCCATCTGTATAAATGATTGTAAAAACCTGTCATGGGGCTGATTACCAGCCACAGCCAGCCACAGTATTTCCTTGTTCCCTATCACTTTCAGGCAATTTGCCATGGCACCCTTCTGTGCCCGCTCCAAACCAAACATTTTATCCCACTTTTCTCCTTGAAAAAGGACCCATGGCGACTTACAACAATGAAAGATAATATTTAAAGCTGACAACAATAAGTTTACAACAGTGGTTAACATCACTGAAATACGATATTTAAAAACTATGAACAATGAATAAGGAGGCATCTTACATCATTAACAGGCAATATTAAGGTAAAGATAAATAAGATTACGAAAAAATTTTAAAGTCACTCTGAGAAATAGAAAACACAAAAATGGAAAACACAAGTAGTACTAAAAATCCAGTAAAAGCAGAAATGCATAGCAATCTAGAGTATCTAAGAATCACACACAGGTAGTCGGTTTACTGAGGGAAGGCTTGCCTGATGAGAAAGATCTTTGCCTGCTTGTGGAACGCAAAAAAGAGGGAGAAAATGAGCTAGTAGTTCATGACACACTGAATTTAATATGTCTTAAAGATTTAGAACTTATTGGTTTCACTACAGGAACCTCGCACACTGGCCTCTCTGAAAACTGTTTGAATGGAAAAAGTACATGATTATATCTAACAGAAAGGAACATTTCATTACGTATCACTCCAAATCACATATAACTGGATAGAAAGAGGACTCTGTTAGTCATTCGGAAGGTATCCAAGAGAATCTGAGCACTAACATGTTGACTGGGAATTCAGAAACTAGATCTCAGCTTCTTGAATAGATCATTACAAGCAACCCTCATGCCCTGCTCATTTAATCAGAGTTTCAAAAGTTATTTTGGAAGAATCTCTCTCTGAATCTTCTAGCTAACATGCTGATTAGAGAATTCTACAACCTATAGCATGAAAAAGTGACTTTTCCAAGCTCTGCTTCATATTTCTATAGGATTGCCGGACATAAACAGCTCCCCGGATTGAAGAATGAAGGAAAACTTACTTAAATTTCTGGCTTGTGAAGTTCTTTTCGTACCTGGATATTTCTCAATAACTTTCTTGTCCATTTTTCTGTCTATTTTACTTTTCTCTTCTGTTTTCTTTCTTTCTTTTTTTGAGGGGGAGGGATAAAGAGTATGCTGGCTTCAAGTGTAACAGCTTAAACGGTGGCAAGACTCAGGAGCACCTACCTACTGGGAGTTTCATCCATTACTGAAGGACTGCACTGACATCAGCGGTGACTTCATAATGCAGGGCTTTCAAGAGTCTAGGATGATGTCACAGTGCAGAGTTAGGACAAGGCAAATATGGTAACATCCCCATGCGAAACAAGTGAGACCAGAGAAGCCCAGGAAACTTTCTCCACTTGCTTGCTGTGTCCTGTTCAGCTCTCCAAGTCAAGAGTAACCCACTTAGGTAAATTCCTCAAAATGGCAACACCTTGCATTCTGACATTTAAGCCCTGTAATGACAAGATTAAAACTTCTCAAGGAGGGAGAGCTCCACCGTGCCTTTTAACGTGGTGCCATCTACTGGGAGTGATGGAGAAGTGCATGGTGTGGATCCAGACCTTTACAATCTCAGGTAGCAACTGTAGAAGAGGCAGAACTGGTCCCCTGAAGGTTGTGTGTTAGATGAGGATGTACAGCTGTGTCCTGTGACTCCCAATAGAAGCTGGCACCTTCACACACAGAGATCAGGTCTTTTTTTAAAAGCAAGTTTACACTTCAGAAGTGTCATTTGCCACATCTCCACATCCATTCCTCCATTTCTGCTAGTATGTTTCAGGTGGGGGGGGGAGGTTTGGTCTCTGGAACAAAACCGAAGGCAGGTGAGTCAGTCAATGACTACACATGGCCAGAAAGGGACAGAAAGTATTGTATGGATTCATCGTGCCTTAGCCTTAGTACCTCAGCACCCTCACTTTCCTCCCTAAATTTGGGGATGTTAATTTCAGAACTAAAAGAACTGTGAGTCTAACACTGAGGTTTAAAAAGCAGCTATCAGGAAACTGGCTTATGTGTGCTTAGTTTGGCCTCTCTTGCCAAGAGCTCAGTAAGTGAATTCAGGAATTGAAAATGGAGCCTGAGAGGATTTCTTGGCCTGGAAGAAAAGGTATTGCTAGAGCACCTACTTCTTCTTCCATGCTGCTTAGGTGCCATTGGAGTTCTGGTCCATTAAATCTCGAGGCTCCTTATGGGGAACAGCTATGGTAAGGGAAATAGTAAAAATGCTTTGGTTGTTGACTTCTAAGTCCAATGCTCTAAACTAGAACAAAAGCACTCTGCTATTATTGGATTTCGAAGTCTTTCAGTGTTCATCTGTTGAGGTCACCAACATTTACCTGGGGACCATGGCTTGCATCACATGGTGTTATTTAAGCTTTCTGGCTGTGCATCATCTGATGAATGACACATCCACATCACTCATTGGCTATTAATCATAATGTGTGCTTTATTTACTATAGTAGGCCTTAGACATGGAGGGTACACTTGCCTGTGGAAGTGAAACTGGATCACATATTCCACGAAAAGAGACCTTGTTCCCACCCACCTCCAGAAATGCTTTGGAAGATTCATACCTTATTGCATGCAACATATAAGCAAAGGTGAGCCAGCCAACCTTCTGCCTGAGCCTACATGCAGTACCACTCAGCCCTATGATCCACTCACAAAATAAGAAGCAGGTTCAGCAGGTGGCTTAAAATGAGAAAACATTTCCCCCATATCTTTGTCATTGTCACCCAGCATCAAACCAACACTTTAACTTACCAAAAAGGATAACGCATCCAACCTAGCTTTTTAAAATGTGTGATTCTTGGAACAATCACACAAGCCAATTAGCTGAATGATAAACAAGTATTGGATTAAAAGACTGGTTGTTTTGTTCTTTCAGATTCACTTTTAAAGTATTTTAGTAAAAAAGAGCAAATGTAAATGCATCACACATTTATATTCCAACATGTACTCACTCTTTGAATGATTAAAGTATAAATATATATTGGAACGAAGTCACCTTGTTACACATTTGATAAGAAACATAATAGTAATTACAGATAAATTATGAATTTTTGTAGCACCACTACATAAAACAGTTGTCCAAGGTCCACCAGGAGTGTTTTCTCTCTCATTTCTTTCTCAGTTTGTTAAAACTGTCCCTTATTCCTCCCGTAAATATGGGCTCATTGAACTCCGCCTGTAATATCCCACAGCTTTGTGATGTCTAGACTGTCCCTCCTCACTTGTCTTTGGAAAATTACTTGCTTTGTTATTCTACTGTGGCTATACCTGAAGGTCTTTGTTACTCAGCTACTCAGTATAGATTTGCTTTTCATTTCTACCACATATTGCCAATTTGGTTTCTACGAAAATATTATTATCTAAACTGGTAGCAATACCTCCTTTTACATGCCAATATACATGATGACTAAATATGTGTCAACAAAAACTAGGATTAAGTGGAACCTAAAGCCAATTTCTGTCAGTGGCAGTAAGAATAGTTTGGGACATACAGCAGTGTCTTATATTGTCCACCTTGAGCTCCAGCAATGGCAGGCAGGCAGACAGGCAGCCATATAACTTTCACAGAATGCATTTGAACACTGCTGTATCAGGGACATTATTAAAAGTGATGTTTGTGGCAGCCACCCCGGCTGCTCCTGGACTTTCACCAGCCCTTTAACTCTTGCCTAGGTTGTTAGAACGGATGGGAGTTACAGCCCAACATCTGGAAGGCCACTCATTCTCTACCCATTCTAAGCACGGTTAAGAAAAAGAGACTGTATCTGTTGAAGTGATGCCATATACAATTCCAATGCATTATGGGAACTACATAATGAGAACCCTGCTCAGAGTTTCCTTGCCAAAGAGAATCTCTCCCAAGAAATTTCCATGTGAAAACGCCATTTCTCGCATTTACAGCCAATGTCTGGATTTTAGGGAGAGCCAGCTTCAAGTCTCCACTAAGCTATGAAACTCACTGGGAGACTCTGAGCTGGTTCTAGTCTCAGCCTGATTTAACTCACTGGATTATTGTGGGGAGAAAGTGTAATGGAGATGGAGGGAAGGCATGCCTGCTGTTTTAAGCAGGACATAAATGTGATTGATTAATAGTACAAAAGTTCTTCAGCTCAGGGTGTCAGGCCCAGATGCCAGCATGCTTCTGTGACTGCACTACAGCTATGTCAAGGGCAACTAAAAGGAACGGTTCTGTTCATGCCATATTACTGGTACTACACTATTGACAATATCAAAATACTGTGAAGAACCAAGAGGATTCACATTAAGAGACAGAATGGCATTTGGTGGGAAGTGCATCTCTTTGTCTCTACCAAACAGTGTCACTATTTAGCTACTTTTGGGTGTGCAGTTGCAGAGAATGAAAAAGATCACCAAGTGACCGCTGTTCACCAAGAATTAATCATTTATTATCAACACAGTTCAGTACAGATGGCCTCAAATGTAACAGTGAATATGTTAAGAACTGTTTGGTTCAGAGCCTGAAAGCTCTGGAGAGACTTTAAATTCCAATATACAGGATTCTAGTATCACATTTCATTACACTTAAGCTTTGTTTATGTACAAATACAAATCAAGCCAGCACTGCTGACCTAAAGCCATACACAAGTTACACAGAGGAGTTGGGCACACATGTGGCGGAGGGGCCTTCCACAGTGCTCATGTTTTTCTTATATCGTTTATATCATAGTGGTTACCCAAAGAGAACAAATCATTTAGAGCCATCATTTTCAAAAACTTTATTTACTCTCATGTTAAAAACAGTAATATCCAAACATATATAATTTTGTTCCAAAAGATTTTTTAAAAATTGTTTAGATTAGAAAATGTTACTTGCAAGGAGTAACTGACACTTTCTTGCCTTGAAAACAGGGAGAAGCTTCCTTGAAAATACTGAGGTAAATATATTGCACTTCTGTGAAGTTACAGCACCTCTTAGTATCAACCAAGACAAGTCTGGCAAAGCAAGAAAGATACTGAAACTGTGAATGTCTATTATGCCTGTTGGCACGTTACAAATGAATTTCTTGACTGAAAGATGGAACTGCATGTACATGTGTGTATGTATGTATCCTTCAAAAGGACATAAAAAACTGGAGTAGAAACTACTTATGTTTTGAGAAAGTTTCTCATGTCTTTACATTCAAAAAACACAACAATCTATCAACTTTGTTCTTGAGTATATTTTTCTTAACACACCCATTGGTTTGGTGCTCATATTAAAGTATGCCCAGGCTCCAGGTGTAACTGGTGACCTTGGCTTATGGTGATTAAGCAATGTGCTGGTGTGTCTGGCACCTACTTGGCTCCTCTGGGTAGGACTGGCTAAATGAGCCATGGACCTTTTGTTCCTAGCTTGTTTACTGTTATATCCGAACCAGAACTCTGGCTTATGTCTTCCCCAGCCAGGATAAGGAGTACTCTTATCTCCATGGATCCACTCACCATGCTTACAGAGGAACTCCTGGCATGTCCCCTGTCACTTTCTTCATATGGAAAGCAACATGCCTATGGCAGAGACATTCCTGTTTACGAGTAGACTCCACATGGAAGCACAAGCCGTGATCTTCTATGGTACTTACTTGCACACAGAGACTTCTCTGCTGCGGACACTCTGCCTTCCAGTTATATCAAGATGACAGAAAAGGGAAGAGCGACACACACCTCTCTAGGCATGCAGAGCACAGAAAAGAAGCCTAGTGGCCAGAATTCTACAGAAATCTGGTTGTCACAGGAGGCTGCATCCTTTGCAGACACAAACGTCTACTCCCATGTCCATTTCTGAAGTGCTTCCTGGGTGTATATTTTTATGGAACGTAAATCTGATAGTCCCTTAAACAGACCTTTCAATCAGATTCTGGCTCTTATACTTGTAATAGATTCTTGGTCTCTATTCAGCATTATCATGAGACTTCAATATGAGATTACTCATGAGTTCAATTTTCATTTTGGTAACGTAACTATGCAGATGTCATCAACAACATTGCTTCATAGGGAGATGACACAAGAAGGAAAAACAAATGTATTATTTCCTACAGAGGGCCAATAAACTATTGCTGGAAAGATCCTGAGTTGTGCATATCAAAGGAACATGGGGGCCAAGTGTGCACCGTAGTGCTTTAAAGGGCACAGTGGGGACTTGTGCTCGCTTTTACATCTGAGTGAATTCCCAAATGAAACATTGGCTGCAAATGGCTAGTTGCCCAGGTTGCATGGATTGCCCTGTCCAAAGCATCACACCACCAATATATAATTCACTAATAGGGAAATGCAACCATTAAAGTGGAAATATATTTTAATACTTCTGAAATATATTTTTAATAAATCAATCAGTGGGAGTAGGACAAATCACACCTCTTTGGTTAAAAACAGCGTTTCTTAAACTTAAAGAGTAGGAAATACTGTATAGTTTCACAATTTCAAATAGCTGCTATCTAATATTCTAATATCTGTGGCTCCTCTTATGGAGGCCCTTCTAGCTTGCTGCAAACTCAGAGAAAAGATGTACAACATGACTAAAATTACCACAAAATGATTGTCATATCAAACCCTTGTCTTCTGATCAAAGTACACCAAATACTTCAGCAATGGATGAAAAACCTCCAAAAGATGGTCTTTGCTTTACTATGGGAGTTACATTCATGAGCTGATACAAAACGAAAGGCCAGCGGCAAACTTGCTGCATAAGACATTTGTTCCTCCTTTTTTGTTACTGAGTTTATTAAAAGAATAATCATTTGCTCTTGCCATGACCTGAGTAAAGTCCTTCCCAAGATTATCCTACTGGGAGAGGAAAGGAGCTCACAAACTCACTCTGCCCATCACCACAGGAAAAAGAAACTCAGTGAACCACAACTGAAAAGGAATACAATCCGTATCAGATTGCTGTGAGGAGCAGAGAAGGGTCAGGATGCTCCCTTTTTTCCAGAGTGCCAAGCCATGCCTGCAAGAGAATATCAGCACCTATCACTCATCTTGGCAATTCTTCACAACAAGCAAAAATAGGAAGCTACTCCTTAGTTGGTTGGATGTTGCTCTTCCCCATCCCTTTCAGATCTGATCTGTGTGCAGGACTTATTCGTTTAAAATCATTTCTTTGGTGCAAGTGTGTTAATCCAAAACATCTTCAACATGGACAGCAATATCTACAGTCCCTAAGCATGCGCAGCCTTGGCAGTGGGGGAAAATCCGTTGCTCCAAGCTGGACTACAAGCCTCTGCTTCATTTGTCAGCGTTTTGCTCAGGATTGGTTTTGAAGGAAAACATTCACGGCAGTGTTTTGGTACCTCTTTACCCCACACCAGGAGAGTTGTGTCCAAAGTGACCATGACAAATGCTGGGGCCCCGTTCAAAAGCAGATGAGGAATGGATGAGTTTCGAGGGGAAGGAGGACAAGTTGTCCTTGGCGTCATTGATAGAGACAGATGCACATTTTTTTTTAAAAAAGGCAAGTAATTTTTCCAATGTCTTTGGTACGACTGTCACAGTTCAGCCTCTTGCCCTTTGAAGTGGCCAATTCAACCAGTGAGGCAAAGATCGTGATGTTAAACGAAACCACGGACTCAGCTGGTCCTAAGAGGTGAGTTTGAAACAGGCATGTTTAACAGCACTTAACAGCCAGTGAGTATTTGTTCACTTCCTAAGGCTTATCTGTTCCACACGAATAAAAAAGAGAAAGTGACCGCACGGCCAAGCAAACAGCATGAATGCTGCCGATAAGCCTCCAACTTCAAGCTCAGTCACAGCTCTCCTAGTGCAATTAGTTAGCACCTGCCAGGGCCAACTTAGTATCAATCAGTCTCATCTCGAGCACAGCACACTTGACCTCCTATCATGCCAGTCATCTCTGAACAGGATATGCAGATCAAAACTGTTACCGAAGGAAAGGGAACCCTGGAAGTCCTGTGCTGTCTTTCTTCCGCCACATAAAGGCAGGTATATTACAAGCAAGCCCTGCCCACTAATCTCAAGAGTTATGAGGTCTCTGCAGAGCTGAAGGGGACAAATTTGGAATGCTTGTTTGGGGATGCTGGAGACTGACTATCAGGCTCCTCGTTGAGTTTGAAAAACATCTCTTGCTCTCGCTTCCTCTGGTTTAGTTCATCTTCCAAGGCCTGAAAGATAAAAAGAGATTAGTTTTTAAAAAGAAATGCTCAGTCCAATTAAATGAAATCCTTCAGCTGTATAAAACTTGGCTTCTCTCAGCCAAGTGGATCCCTGCCAGTTTAGCAATTGCAGCTCAAATAAAAATGAAACTGGGTGAAAAAAAACATGAACAAGAACACATAATTCAGACTGGCTTGCAAAAATACTGAGACAGACTCTTCCTAATTCAATCCCTAGCCTCAAACATTTGATATTAGTGATGGTAATAAATGGTTTATTGAAATACAACTTGTGGCACGATATTTTGGCAAACTGATCTGAACTGTCAGAAGTTCAAAACTGCATTCTGAAATTCTGCCATATTCCAAAACATGTGCAAGGTTTTATCTTTCGCTGTCACCTTTTTTCGTGGCCTCAGTTTATCCCGCCAATCCTTCAAATTCAGATTGTGATTTTCATCCAGTGCTTTCAGCTTCTGGGTCTCATGTTCCACGAGGAGATGGCACTTCTCATTCTGTATAGATTTAAAAGATGAAGGGGAAAAGAAGTGGGAGAGAGAGAAATATAGGAGATAGTTTATGAAGAGGAAAGAAGGTTGATATCAGTTCTATCATCTTGGATGGTTTGGCTGTAAATCCAAAACTAAGACATAGCTTTGAAAGAACAAGAAGTCCATTCTCTATCTGGGACAACTTATGACATTCTATGGTGTGTCTGCTTAATTCACAGCAATAAGAGGGCTGGATTTCAGTTAGGGAGATTAGAGTCCAACTCTTGAGTAACTTTAGGAAAGTTACTTTTTCTCAGACTAACATTCAGAACCACTGCAAGCAATGAATTGGGCAGCCCTATGTCCTATGTTCCTTGGAGGAAGGAAGGAGAAAACAAGTATAATAACATACAAAATGCCCATCCGGAATTATTCACTAGTTCTGTTCCAAGCTTTACTGCCAGAACGTAGGATCCAATTGTTCAAGACTGGATGGAAATCTTGTCTATTGGCTATGCTAGGAGCATGCTGTATTCCTCCCTTGGACTGACCCTGGCAGTTATAAAACATAACTTTGCAATGTAGTTACCTGTAATTGCTGGAGCTCATTCATGTTGCTCTCACACTGAGCTATCATATCCTTCATCTGCATTTCATGCTTCTGCTGCTGCTGTAGTCGTTCAGCTTTCTGCCTCTTTTCCTCCTGCTGTGCAAACTGTAAGAGAAAGAAGCACCCAACTGCAGTAAGAACATTTTCTCAGGGTTTTTTAAAAGGCTTCTTACAGTGTTCAGATGCCACCATGTACAACATAGAACATTAAGAGTCATGGGGTGGGGGAAATAATTTATTTTAGCAGAAATTGCCTTAGTGTAGCTTTTGCACTAGCAGTAGAGTCTTCAAACTCATGTATCCTTTTTATATCTTTTTCTATGAACACCACAGACCTGTCAATAGATTAAATTTCACTGTACAGTGGTGCCTCGCTAGACGATGATAATCCGTTCCACTCAAATTGCTGTTTAGTGAAATCATTGTCTAGCGAAAAGCATTTCTCCATTGGAATGCATTGAAACCTGTTTAATGCATTCCAACGGGGAAGAATCATCATTGTCTAGTGAAGATCGGCCATAGGAAAGCTGCTTTGCGAACTGCCGATCAGCTGTTTAAATCGCTGTCTTGCGAAGCTTAGGTCCTGAAAACACCCGTTTTGCGAGCGTGGAGGGAGCTGTCAAAATCGTCGTCTAGCGAAAATCGGTTTGCGAAGCAGGGACCAAACATTGTCCAGCGAAATTCTCCCATAGGAATCACTGTTTTGCAATTCGCTATAGCGATTGCAAAAAATCAATATCTAGCAAAAAAACCCTGTCATGTGGGGTAACTGTCTAGCGAGGCACCACTGTACCTAGTTGTTCCCCAGGGGACAAAACAATGAGAAACAGAGATATGATCTTCACACCATATCCATAAAAACATAAAACATGTTGCAGGAATATCACTTGAGTTTCCCATTGTTTGAAATCCTCTGGCGATACTAATTTCACTATTTAGCATCAAAGCATAAATTTCAATGCCATGAGATAATCTCCTCACAACAAGTTTGCTATCTGCCCCATTCTCCGGCAAGCATTACCTGCTTTATCTTCTCTCTCTGTTCTGAGGCACTTCCACTGGAGTTGATATGGAGACTCTTCTTATACATGGCCATGCGTGTCTTTCCTTCACTCCTCTGGATTTTTGGGAGACGATTTTTCTCTTGTTGCTGCCGTATTTTCAGCTGTTCCACCATCCGTTGGTTGTATCGTTGCATTTGTTCACGTTCCTGGAATTGCAGTGTCCAGAGGGGAAAAGATGAGTCATCATAGCAAATGCTACAGGATACACTTAAAGTTTATTCTGGATGTTGGTCTAAGATATTATATAACAGATCACAAGAGCAAGAGATAGACTTGGAAGAACAGAAGTAATAGAGAAACCTAGGGTAGATATGTTTGAATAAAACAAAGCCCGCAACCAGTTCAACTGAGGTTTGCCATAGGAGGGAGGGTTTCTCTCCAAGGGCATAACCTCAGGAAACAACAACAACAACAACAAGACACCTAAGATTCAACTAAAATTAACAACCACAATTAAGATCTGCCAAGGAACACTAGCGTATAGCATAGTGCCATACAGAGTTTATCATGATTAAATTACTTAGTGCCATACAGACTGATTCAGTCATGTAGATAAGTCCTAACACTGTTGTTAGTGGCCATTACAAATGTCACATTTGGAAAATCTGCGTGTGGGAAGCAACTGACAATTATTACAATTTGCTCTATAAAAATCTGTCCCAATGCAGAAGAAATTTCTGCATCTCTATATAGAAACTGAAAGATTCAAGTTGGCTCTAGGGAAAACAATAAATAGTTCAACCTTGCTCATGATAAAAAAATGCCCATTGTTCTATGTAACACCAAGGCAAAATGTCAGAAGTAAAAGCTTCGGAGACATGTCTATACTTCTCTGAAATTTGAGGACAGAGTCCTATTAGTTTCAGAGATCCTCCTTTAGCAAACTTGACCACTGCTAAACTTCCGGGAGTTTTGAGTCACTAGGCAAAAACGTGTACAGACAAGGCAGCTCCCATACAGTAACTGCGTGCCAGTCATTTTCTGAAAAGCACTGAAAATAAATCATTGCCTTGAATACACACAGCTCCTACCTGTAATATAAAGCATACACATGGTACAGTGAAGAGACCCTCAAGGCCAGCAATAAAACAATTCTTCAAGGGTATATACAAGATGCAGTTGTGAATGAGATCAAGTATTTTATTCAGACTTCCCCTGCACTATAGTTTACCTGCCGGAAATCTAGCCTTTTATTCTTTTTAACAAATTCCATTTTGCTCCTAAGTGTCTCCTCTAAATGCTACTGCTGACGATGGTAGTACCCTTCCCCCCTGTTCCTATGGCTTTAATACATGTCACACTTGTGTTGTCCTTTCTCAAAGAATGATGTGACTCCCTTTCAAATAGCTGTGTTTTTGACACCTGCTTCTTTTCTTTCTCCCTGCATGTTAAATCTGAAGAGAATTCTGGATGGGTAATATCCAAAACTCTACATGCCCTCTGTTGACATCTGTACCCTCCTGATCTCCCTGCATTGCTTCAGCACATTACATTCCTCTTTTTTCCCATGCACGATAATAAGGTTGCCTCTCTTGACTAATTTGTCTAAATGAACAGTATCTACCACAATTCCCTCTCATGTGGGCTCTTAGCAACTGTCCATCCTGACATGTCTCAGCATGATATCAGACCAAAATATATACATGCAAGCTGTAGGCTGGGCAGTTTTTAAAGACCTGCTAAATTCACTGTCAACAGAATTAGATAATGAGGGATCATGGCCTCTGTTGTTCTTCTGGAAAACAAGGCTTTGTAGTTAGTGCTTGGGTCAAGCTGACCAAGAAAACGGGGGGGGGGGATGCCCATGAGTAACTAGAAGGAAGTAATACCTGTGGATTCTCTTTGAGCTTAAAGGCTGAGCTCAGCTTACTCCTTTGTATTGAGCTAATGAGGAAAATAGCTTCAGCTGCATGACGAGAGGGGAAAGAAGTTACTCTTTTCTTTGTGGAAGTTCAGGGGAACACAACCCTCGACTGGCAGATCTTCTAGAACAGTCTAAAAGTTGGAACTTTGGGCATAAAATGGGGACTGAAGTTACTTTAAGTTTGACTGAGGTGAATGCTATACTAATTTGCTGCTGTGCTGCAAGGCATTAACTTCATTTATACTTTGAGATTATACTAAAGAATGCAAATTAGAACAGGCCAGCTAGCATACATATTTTTTGAGTATCTGTTCTGTAACTGCTCTTACTTCTATTTTTTTTGATTGATTCTTTGCCTCACAGCCTTTGACGGTTTCTGTGACAGTAGAAACGTTTTTGAAGTTCTACTCTTTTTGATTTTTTCACAGTTTTTCATAAAATATAAAGTTTTCACAGTTTTTTTTATCATTTTGGATTAAGACAGCAGTACTTAAAGCCAGGCCTTGTCTTGACCGTCTGCGAGTTTGTGTGTTTTGTGGGTACACTGATATTCCTATCTTGCAAGGCTAGTAAAAGATTCAAAGAGCTTAACCTTGTGGATTTTGGTGACTCCCTGGAAGCACTGCTTAAGTAGGTTGAAACAATGGTGTTGGGGGTGGGTGGGCAGGAAAATTCCCCCAGCCATCAGCACATTTGGTCTTTCGGGACTTCATCCATACCAGGATAATCACAGTAGTATGGCTAAGTGGTTAGTGTGGGCCTCGTGACACTCACTCTGTTTGTTTGTTCGTTGCCACAATTCCACACCCTGCTCAACAGAAGGCAGAATTAAGAAACAAAAGAAAGAAAGAAAGCTAAAAAGATCTATTACCTTCTCATGTTTTCGGACTAGCTCATGTCTCTGGAGAAAATATTGATCTTTCAGCTGCTGTTTAATAAGTTGATGTTTCTCCTGTAGGTGGTGCTCTTCTAGATCCCAGATAGTGGCTTCTCGGTCTAAAGAAAACAAAATGCAACAGAATTGGGGAAGCAGGTGACGGTGAGGAAGGGCAAACAGTGTTTTACCTCAGAGCTCAAGAAGAAGAGAAAGCTATACAGGAGAAAAGTCTGTCCTAAGGCTTAGCTTCTTTCCTAATTCTCTTCTTCTTCTTTTACATTTAGTACTCTTGTTCATGCTGGTCTGTATTTAAGAAGTGAGGCAATGAGATTCAGGAGACATGAAAAATGGGACAGGTGAAAAGCAGAATAGACACTATTGATATAGCAGAGAGAAATCTGTGACCCTCCAGCTGATGCTCAAATCCAGCTCCCATCAGCCCCTGCCAAGGTGGTCAAGGATGACAGGGACTAAAGTCTAGCAAGACATGGAATGGTCCCAAAAATGTACTGCAGGATATAAATCTACTGTAAAATTGTAACAGTAGGGTATTTGGCTACACTCCCAAAAAATTACTTTCAAGATTAAAACATTGTTAGCTAAGAGTGGTACTTCTGATCATGAGCATGGAGAATGGTGTGCTTTCCAGTACCACTGGGTACTTTATACCCTCCTATTAACCCTCTGACAGCTATGCCAGGGCTCCTGAAGGAAAATGCTGGTTCCCAGTCAAAGCCGGTTCTTCCTGGCTTCCAGTCTCTTCTAACACATTAAAGAATAAAACCAAGCCCTCCAACCTCTCATAAGCTGCTGTTTTTTGTTGAGGCACTCCCGCTCCTTATCGCAGATCTCCTTCCGATTCTGGGCTGTGATATTCTTTATGGCCTGCTCCATATCCTCCGCCTGCTTGGTAATAAACTCCTGCTCCTGGAAGAGACATTGACAACATAAAAGCCTCTTTTATATATATTTTAATTGTATTTTAATTGCTACATAACTTTATTGTATTTTAAATGCTGTAAGCCGCCCAGAGACCTTTGGGTAGTGTGGGCGGCATATAAATTAAATAAATAAAAAAAAAATTGTAACAGTAGGGTATTTGGCTACACTCCCAAAAAATTACTTTCAAGATTAAAACATTGTTAGCTAAGAGTGGTACTTCTGATCATGAGCATGGAGAATGGTGTGCTTTCCAGTACCACTGGGTACTTTATACCCTCCTATTAACCCTCTGACAGCTATGCCAGGGCTCCTGAAGGAAAATGCTGGTTCCCAGTCAAAGCCGGTTCTTCCTGGCTTCCAGTCTCTTCTAACACATTAAAGAATAAAACCAAGCCCTCCAACCTCTCATAAGCTGCTGTTTTTTGTTGAGGCACTCCCGCTCCTTATCGCAGATCTCCTTCCGATTCTGGGCTGTGATATTCTTTATGGCCTGCTCCATATCCTCCGCCTGCTTGGTAATAAACTCCTGCTCCTGGAAGAGACATTGACAACATAAAGCCTCTTCTTGGCCTATCATGCGCGGTGCTGCCTTCTGAACGGGGGAACTGGAGGGAGGGAACCCAACCTGCCACCTGTGTCCTTTGTGGACAATGGACTCATTACTGCCAGAGCTTACCATGACTTGCTTCTTTTGTGCAAAGTCCTCCATCTTCACCTTCATGGTCCCTTTCCGCTGTTGTCGTGGGAGCTTCTCAATCTCACTCTTGAGCTTAAAAAGAATTCAGTGGGCAAAATTTCTTATTTGTCAGATACTTCATCTGATACAATTCTTTGAAATGTTTAGGCAGAAGTGACTTTTAATCATTTAGCTGCATCACCTCCCATTATCAGGGCTACTCTTGGGGCCTAGAATGCTTCCCTCAGGGTCCCTGTTGGAGTTCCATTTCCCTCTCACTGTGGTTCTGCAGGGCAGCCTCTCCCCACCACTCTCCCTATGAGAATGGAGAAATTACTAGGCTGGTGAATAACCCAGACTGGCTTTGTGGGTATACTGGCACAGCACTGGTGATCCCAATACTAAGATATTTTTCAATATTAGGGACATGGAAGTAGTGTCATGACCCTCTTAATAATAATTAAGATTTGTACAGAGGTTTGAGTTTGCAAGAGCCGAGTATGCAAGGGCTGAGGAGAGCTGCTAATGAGAAGGCCTTTTGGAGGTCATTCACTGGGTCCCTACAAGTTGGAGGCAATTTGATGGCATACAACAACAAAAAGGTTTCAAGTGTTCAAAATGCTAAACATGTGTGTTATCTTGGTACCATCCTTACAATAAATGTGTAGACAGAGGTAGCTTTCTGATACCCCTGCTAGACATGGGATGACTGAGACTGAGAGGGGCTTGCCTTAAACCACCTAGCAAGCTCATTGCAGAGGCAGAGGCAGCATCTGGAAACACAGGAAGCGGCCTTATACTCAGACCACGGGTCCATCCTGCCCAGTACTGCCCACCTTGATTGGCCCCACCTTGTGAAGCAATGGCATTCCAAGGTCTCAGGTTGGATTCTTTCCTGTCCCTGGGTAGAGACTGACCCTGGGCCTTTGTGCAGATAAAGCATTGGCTGAACCATGGAACTATGGCCGCTCTCTTCTCTATCTTAGGCATTAGGGTGTACACGTTCTTTGGGTTCTTCCCTCTAGAGCCTTTTCAATTCCTGTGCCTCGTTTTTCTTCTCCTACACCCTTTTGCCTTCTTTCTCCATGTCTCTCCTCCTCCTTATGCTGCTTGCTTCTTCTCTTTTGCTAACACACTGTGTGTTCTGCTTCCCATCACCAACAGCCTTAAGTACAGCTTCTCCCAAACATCTTGCCTGGGCTGTAACTGCAATGTAGCCCAGTAAAAGGGCCAAAGGGTTTCAGCTCCTTTACTGCCCCAATTGATCCAGCCCATTATCAGCCTTTACCTCCTTCTTCTTTTGTTTCATCTGTTCTTGAAATTTAACAAGATCCCGTTCCTGCTCAGCCCGAATACGCTTTGTCTCTTCACGGCGACGCAAGGCATGATCTTGCTCCATCTTTTCAATGTGCTGCTTCTGCTGACGTTCTAGGTTTTCTAGTTCTGTATCATAGAATTTCTTCTTTGTCTGTAGGAGACCAAAAGCACCTTCAGGCTCGTAATACTCAATGAAGACTCTTACGTAAAGTAATTTGTCAATTTACCAAAAAATGGTTGGAAAAACCATCTTAATTACAGCAATAGGCTTTTTGGGATATATCCACATGTGAATCTGATGCATCCCTTATTCTGCTTCTGAGCATCAAGAATTCTAAAAACAGACATCATATGGCCTGGTTCTCCAGTTGCTTAGGATTTCCCCATCTTGTCTTCTGTTAAAAGTAATCAGCAGTGGCCTTGCTTAGAGTGATAGTTCAGTGTGGAGCCAGGGGCTGGACTCAATGGTCCAAAGCCGCCCAGAGACCTTCGGGTAGTGTGGGTGGCATATAAGTTAAATAAATAAATAAATATGGTGCCTTCTAGCTCTGCAGTTCTATTATTATTATAATAAGATCATCATCATCATCATTATTAGATTATATGGACCTGATATCAGCTGTAAGTGAGTGTGTCTCAGGGCTCTGAATAGTGGCCTTCTCTATAAAGCTCACTGCCTGGAGGATCTGGAAGCAGCAATTCCCAAGAAGTAAGCACAGATCAGAGGACATAATGAAATATTTTTATTTTCATGCCTTCATATCATCCCCAATCACTAATCAGAAATAAGAATGGGCTTCCTTGCTTAGCTTTCATTTTTAGGAGAAAGGTGGGGTAAACATATTTTAAATAAATACATTGGAAGGAAGTATTTTCCTTAACTGCACTCTCTCCAAGGGATCTCAACCTGGACCTTTCTTGCAGAGGTTTTTTCCCTACAGCTCATTTTGGACAGAGGCCGCATAAGCCACAGCCAAAGGCCAGGTTTTGAGATCCTGCATTAAAGACATACTGTGCCTTGTAATAAATTATTCCCCTAAGTTAACTACGTATCACTCAGGCTGGTTAAAAAGCCATTTCCCTTCCACGCTCTGCTCGTATTGCTGTTTACAACTCCTCCAGAACCATTCACACTTTTGGACAGCCTTCTTGCTAAGAGACGTTTAGTTGTTGAAGGACTAAAAATGGAAATGTTTTTCAAATACACTGTGGCTCCAGTACCATAGGGGTCAATTAAAAGAACAGAAATGCACTGTGTAGGTTACACACTGAACTGTAGCAGGTGGGGCTACTGACACACTGAACTCAGCTTCGGACACATACTGTCTGCTGTCTCAGATTTTCTTAACTGCAGCGCAGTCCATTATGTCATGAGGGATGCTTTTGACTTGCGTGTGGCACTGGGTATATGCCCATCTTAGTCTTGGCAAATCTCTATCTTTCATCTCCTAGTGGTAGCTAAGTGGGGAATCTAGGCCTCTGAAATCTGAAAGCCTGCAACCTTTTGCAGCTTTTACTTGAATAGTCAGTAGGCAGGGAACAAGGGATGGAGAGAGGGAGGCGCTCTCTTCAGGAAGATAGGGAAAAATCAGACATGCTGTGAAAAATGGAGGCCAACAGTCAAAGCAAAGGACTAACTCTTAACCTTTCACATGCCAATTAAATACATATTCGTGTGTAGGAAGGCTCCACAGAAGTATTTTAACCTGCTACTACTACTTGTTTGTATTACTTTCTCTGCAATTTATAAACCACTTGTATTGTACAGTACTGTTTTAGATATTGGATAATCTGTGATTTTTAAGAGTGTGTTCTTATGTACACGGTTAGTTGTTTCTGAGCATGTATGAGGAAGGGTGAGATAGAAATCAAACAAACCACCACCACATGTTTCACCATCTTCCTACAACCTCCACCAGTCAAGATTCTGGTCTGTTATCTGAATAAAGAAAGAAAAGGAAAAGAAGGACGCTAATTCCGCTCGTCTTCCCACATGCACATATACCTACATTCATTTCTTGCTCAAAGCGCTTCAGCATTTGATCTAGCTGCAGCTGGTGCTTTATGGTCAGTTGGGCCTGGTTCCTGTGCTCCTCCTTCTGAAGGAGACGCAACTCTCGCAGTTCCTGGCGCCTAAAGGGCCAAAGCAGAGCAGAAGATCAAGAAATGAGGAGAGTTCCAACGGACAGCAACGCCTGAAAGCAAAAAAGAATCACCAGAAAGAACACAGCCCCAGGCTCATACTATCCTAGTATGGCTGCTCCCATATTCTACGTGTGCTGTGTTTGCTGTAAGAGAATGTTAATTCCCTGAATCACAGTCACGTTTCTCACTATCATGCAGGATACTGGTTCTGAGACCACTGGGAGGAGACCATTTCTTTACTCTCTCTGGCTTGTATGTGCATCTCTGGCCTTGAATTGCTCAACTTCCTCACACAGACACTTTGAATAAACAGAAGTGTAATATGACCCCCAAAATCAACTGCATCCAAGTGTACACTTGAAGACTGAAACCCAGAAAAATGCTATAAACTATACAGAGGTGTGTGTGTTGTTTTTGGTTTTGTAGAAATGGTGGTGGTTTAAAATCAAGTCTGAGAAAACTGAAATCATCTGTCAGACTTGTTTCAGTGGAAAAGGTGTTCAGGGGGTAATACAGTGAAACTAATTTTCATTTGGAGTTCTGAGTTTTATGTAGGAGTCCTGATGCACAATTTATTTATTTATTTATTTAATTTACATGCCGCCCACTCTACCCAGAGGTCTCTGGGTGGCTTACAATAATTAAAATTTGGAGTTCTGAGTTTTATGTAGTAGTCCTGATGATCAATTGAGATAAACTTGTTGGCTGGCATACTGCTGGTGTCAGCATAAAGTTTGCTTGGGCTGCTGGATAGCTAGCTGTGGAGCCAGAGGTTAGGACTTCAATTCCCCAGTGTGCCTCCTTGATGGGGGCTGGACTTGATGATCCATAGAGTTTCTTCCAGCTTTGCAGTTTGTGTTGTTGTTGTTGTTGTTGTTGTTGTTGTTGTTGTTGTTGTTGTTGTTGTTGTTGTTGGTAGTAGTGGAAGGAGGAGAATGAGAAGCAGCAGCAGCAGCAGCAGAAGACGATGATTAAATAAATTGCTGTGGCTAATTGAGTCTAACTGATACTGCTAACTGCGGCTAATTGAGGTGCCAAGCCACATCTCAGCTGTATGACTGGCATGCTACCAGGCACACAACTAAGATGTTCCTTACTACCTCTCAATGAGCCATGGCAAATTATGCAAATCTAACAGGAACACCAGCAAGGCTGTGTTCATAAAGTCTGAAATGGAGAGGTATATCCTCACGAAGGGATACATGCTCCACCTTGTAACAGTTCCAGTACCCCACTGTATGCCTGTTTTATACATTTGCCTTTAGGAAGCTAGTGAAAGAAACACCAGTGAACACAGCTCAAGACCAAGCAAGAGCATGGAAGTTCCTCTCCAGCTTTGAGCACTGGATAGTGCTATTATGTCCTTCTCTCTACCATATCTTCATCTTCTGAAGCGTTCTAGAAATGCTCCGATGCTCCTTATCATAAGCATGGGTTCAAAAGATTTTTATGAATTCTTCCATTCATAAGCACTGGTTGCTAAGCGCAGGCTCTATCCTGTGAAGGAAAGGCTATAAAGCCGCAGGGCGAGTCATAAAAGCTCTGAGAGCATCTCAGCACACTGAATGGAAATGTTAGATTCAATGTTTTACAATCCCATAATAGAATTTTGTTGTCATTTTAAAAACTAACTGAGGAAATACAAGCCCATGATTTTATGATTTATGATGCCAAGGAATCTTCCCAACACCTCTTTATTAGTTTGCTATAACTGAATATAAAAATGTCAGGATAAAAGCTTATGGAAAATAAGATTCATAGCAAGGACAGCATTTGTATGAAGCTGCGCACACACTCTCTCTCACACACACACAGTTCATAACATACTGGCTGAAATCCTCTTGTGCAATTACGCAAACAGTGTAACTTTTGGAAGTGAATTTCCATAAGTTAAGAAATCCTCACAGACCTTACCTGCTGTATACTGAGTTGCATGACCTGGCATGCAATGGATAAAGTCTACAGAGACCTGTCAACCTACAGCAATTTGCCTCTAAAAGTTATACTGATTGTGTAATTGTGCGACAAACTTTTAGCTGCTGATTCATGGTTACATTAAACGGATTCTCCTTGATCTTTAATGGATTTCCAGTAAATACTACTATTTGCTAAGGACAAGGAATGATACAGCAGCTGTTATGTTAGCTTGACAGAAGTGGCAGGGATCTGGAGGCTGAATGATCAAATCTAACCCACTGACAACTTCTTTTTGATCCATCACACGAATTTCCAGTATGACTTAAGGTCCCACAAAGCTCAAATTAGCAACGTGTAGGAAAGTACTCTTCATATTTATTTCCTTTTCTTAATCTCCAAAGAAAGCCAGGAATATCAACATTTATAAATACAACGGAGATTTTCCACTTGCCTGAGAAATCTCATCTCTTCATCTTTTTTTTCATCCTCACTGATGATTTTTGAAGTGGTGACACTCACTTCCACTCCATCTACTACAAATCTTCTTGTCCGTTTCAGTGTCATCTTCTGCATTTTCGCATCCTATACAATCAGGGAGAAAAGGGATACATAGATTAAAAAGGGGTGGAGGGTGCTAGAAATGAAGTTACTATTTAATACACATCTAAATATGCTAGGACTATTAAATGAAAAGCACCATCAGGTTCAGGCAGGTAATGAGTTTGTAGCCAGGTCCCACGGATTAGTAAATTCTTTGCTAAGCAAACTAAGATTCTGAAACTAACCAGAAGATTGGGCTTTCCAAGGTATATTTTTCACTTGCACAATTAGCTTAATTTCCAGCATTTGGATTTTTGCTAATCTGAAGTAATCAGGAATGGTGAGAGTGGGTAAAGTGGGGACGTGGTGGTGACTGAGATTTTGTCAAGGACAGGTAAAAGCCAGCTGATTCTCTGAATTTTCAATCAGAGTTCGAACTTTTCCTGAAATCGCAAGCACTAAAATGCCAAACTCCTCCCACGAGATAGAGACAGAGAGAGATAGGGCGGGGTGGTGGTGGTTCTACTCCAGGGAGAAGTGTGGAGCTTTCCCTAGAATGCAGAAGGGGAAAAAGTGGCAGATATAGCATAAAAGAGGGCAAGCCCACTTTCACAATAACAATCAAGGACATTACCTAAGCAAATACTGGATGAACCCTTTGTTGTGGTCAGGATAGTCAAGCAATTGCTAGGGATCTACAGCTTACCTCTGAGGAAGAAAAGTGAGCCCCTTTCTTATGCGCCCCCTGCCCACATGTAGCATTGACATGTCTGATGCCTTCCCTCCCTACAGATAAAACACACAGCTGGCCTGCAGTGGCAGAGTCTGCTTTGCCTCATGGTACTGCTGATCTTGGAACTGCTGCATAAGGTGAGGGAGGCAATGAGTTCTCAGACATTCTTTCTTCTCTTACAAAATGGTACTTTCGTCACTGTGAATATCAGTTTTCCAGTAGCCGAAAGTGAAACTGAGTCCAACCAGCAGCTAATGAAACTACCATAAATTTGATTCAAGCCATTACTACATGAGACCTGGGGGCACATGTTGAAAGAGAATGACATGGGCATCTGGGTGCTGAACTGTGGGTTGACCACTTTTACAAACGGCAGCGCTGAACTCTTCGCCATGGAGAAAGGAGCATTTGAATGGAGTGTGAACAAGTTATCCAGAATTAACCCTCATTCCACAAAGTTTCAGGCATTATTCATAGTGCAACCTTGTGGCCTCTAAAACTTCATACAGAGCAGAAACCATTTAGGGAGTTCTGCAGTTTGGGAGGAAACTAAATTTTGCTTCCAACTTATTTACAACGTTTAGCAATGCTGTCTGATTCTAACACAGTGGTTCTTAACGTGGGCGGTGCTGTCTGATTCTAACATATTTGTACCCTTCAAAGTTGAATACATGAGCCCCCTGCCCCAATTCAATTTTACATGGAAGGACAAAGTCCCCTTGCTTTGGAAGATCAGCGTTTTATTACAAATTGCCACTTGAGAAAGTAGCAGCTGTAGCCTCTTTGATAGATATATTTAACAGGGTGCAAAGAGGCACCCAATCTTCTGGCAATACTGGAATATGGGAAGAGTGAGGGAAAAACCCCCAGAAATCAAGGGTGTTTCAAAACTAAATCTATTCCCTATTTATGGGTCAAGGGGTGGCCTTCACTAACCTCCTCATTTGTTAAGTTCTGGAAGATTCATTAGAGACTGAGTCTGCAGCATGATTTTGGGGAGCAAACTTAACTGGGCACCCAAAATATTAGCACATTTTAATGTAGTTATTATTGCAATTACGTAACTAAGCTGTTATGACACAGCTTCACACACAGTGCTAAGGCATACTGCAGTTCAAAATGGCATCCTATCTGGTTTTTTCTGCTCCAGTATTTACAAATACACCACAGTTTCGGGTGGTAAAGGTCTGTCTCTTTTCCCACCAGTTCTCTGGCCGCCCCTTCTGCACCAGCTCCATTTGTTTATTTATTTGTTTATTTATTAGATTTTTACCCCGCTCCCCCCCCAGACAATGTCTACTCAGGGCGGCTTATATGGATAAAAACACAACAATATGACATGTATAAAAATAGTCAAAAATGCAGTTATAGCAATTAATTCCAAACAACACATGACCAAGATGACATGACTCAAGGAAGAAAAATAAAGATCAATTAATTGACTGGAGGGAAGGCCTGCTTGAATAGCCAAATTTTTAACTGGCTTTTGAAAACACCCAGCGAGGGCGCCAGCCGAATTTCAGTGGGGAGTGTGTTCCACAGCCGAGGGGCCACCGCCGAAAAGGCCTGGTTTCTTGTTTTTTCCTTCCGGGCCTCACTCGGCATCAGGCCCCTCAGCAGTCCCTGCTTGCTATGTCGGGTGATTCGGGTAGATCTAGGGGGAAGAAGACGATCTACCAAATATTGAGGTCCCAAACCGTTTAGGGCTTTATATGTAATCATTCGCACTTTGAAATCAATGCGGAAACGGATGGGGAACTAGTGCAAGGCAGCCAGAGTGGGGGAGATATGCTGGTATTTTCTCACCCCACTAAGGAGCATGGCTGCCGCATTCTGGACCACCTGAAGTTTCCGCATCAACCTCAAAGGCAGCCCCACGTAGAGTGCATTACAATGGTCTAATCTCAAGATTACGAGCGTGTGAACTAGAGTAGAGAGCCCCCCCCATCAAGATATGGTCACAGCTGAGCAATCCACCATCAATGAAAATAGGCAGAATGGACCATGGACGCCACCTGGTTTTCCATGGTAAGTGCCGGGTCCAGATGTATCCCCAAGCTGCAGACCTCACTCTTTGTGGTAAGGGTCATCCCCCAAAAGAAAGGAAGTCACGTAAACCACTAATGGAAGGGCCACCCACCCTCAAGACCTCCGTCTTGTCCGGGTTCAGCCTCAACACGTTCAGCTGCATCCATTCCAGTACAGTCTCCAGGCAGTGCTGAAGGGACAGGACGGCATCCACTGAAGTAGGTGAAAAGGAGATGTAGAGCTGTGTGTCATCAGCGTACTGATGGCACGATGCCCCACACTCCCTGATGACCTAACCCAGTGGCCTCATATAGATGTTAAACAGCATTGGGGAGATAATCGACCCCTGCGGAACCCCACAGTTGAGGCTCCACGGGGCCGAGACACTCTCCCCAAGCTGTATTCTCTGGGGACGGTCCTCCAAGACGGAATGGATCCAGGCAAACGCCAGGCCACCAATTCCCAATTCGGAGAGCCTCCCCAGGAGGATACCATGGTCGACAGTATCAAAGGCAGCTGAGATATCAAGGATGACCAACAAGGACATATTGCCCCCATCGGCCTCCCTCAACAAGTCATTTGCCACCTCTTTTTATGTTTACCTCAATCACGGTTATATCTTTGATTTCCCCACCCCTTGTGCCTCTCTGTAGAGGACTGATTCCTTTTTAAGAAACTGCATGTCTGAAGATGTGCATAAACATTAAACATTTAAAAAATTATAATTAAAAAGCAAAGCTGGGAGATGAGCATAGTGTTCCTGTCATGGGGTGTCATATCCAGCCCCATGGCAACAGTGTGCACACCCATCCATACCACAGCATGCAAGATGAAAACAAAGAAAAAAGTGCTGGAGTTTGGCTATGTGTTACAAGTGGGGTTGCGCCTGTTTGCAGCTAATCCACAGCAAACACACTGTCCTCATTTTACTGCAATGGTGTAAATACTAATCTTAGTTTCTGTGACAAGCAAATCCCAGTATTGGACTCCACACTTCTTACCTTTAAGGAGATGGACCCGCTGCCTCTGTTCAGGGACAGGTCAGCAGGCGAGGAGATATTGAGGTCTATGCTCTCCGAAGCAGAGGTGCTACCAGAATCCGAGTCTCTCTTTGAGCTGTCATTTTCAAAAGGAGAGGAAGAGCTCAGGCTCCCATTGGGCAATTTTTCTTCCGTAGGTGTTTCAAGGAGGCTGCTCACTGGCCAGCTCTCCATGTTAGAATCGTCTCTGCTTGCTGGTTCCACATCTTTATTTTGGTGGAGGTTCAGGTCTTTGCTCTCTCGAGTGTTTATGGTTCCATTGGGTGATAGCAACTGAGGGCTCTCACCCAAATGTCCTCTGGTGCTTGATAGACCTATGCAATCCTTTGACTCAGGGAAATTTGAACTACTGCAGGTTTTTGCCAGTTTTTCTTCATCCCTAATCCCTTTGTCAGAAAGCTTTTCACCCTGCCCATTTGTGGTTTCTTTGGCCTGCCCTAAAGGCAACACGGGTCCATTGGCCACAAGTGACAAGGGGCTTTGTGGAGACTTCTCTCCTTCCAAACTTAGTTGGCTTGCAACAGAAGAGTCCCTCTTGTGAATGTCATGATGCTGAGTAAACAGAAAGGGGGAGAGAGGAAGTTCATGAAATTTGGTGCACAGTTTTTTTAGAGTTGGACTACTCAGCATAAGGAAAGAAAGTCATTTAAAATAGGAGTGGGAAATCTCAGGCCCTTGGCTTTCAATGTACTCCTGGGGTCCCCCATTAACACTGCTATTCAGTCATTTCCCAGCTTATGTACAACCTCCACCCTACCCTGGAATTTTTAATAGTCAAAACAGCTCTTCTAAAGCTCAGTGAGTGCCAGCACTTTTACATTAAATTATGCTAATATTTTGGGTCTCGAGAACATTTCTGGAACTAAATTCTGCCCTCGGGCTGGGTGAGGTTCCCAAGGCTTATACTTCAATGGAACAGACCACCACATGTGAATACTTGTTGTGTTAAGGAACCCACTGACATTTTGGAATAGTTTGGTCATCTGTCAGGAAAACAGGACTTTTCCCTACTGGGTTTTCTGCCACCTATATAAGTACAGTGCAACTATTCCATGGATGGTATCTATAAACCTTATAGCCAGATGCTGTTCCCCAACATGATCACATAAGGGCAATCACACAAGGGATCTGATCTGTTTCCTGGCCTGTCCACTTCACAGCTGGTCTTTCCAGTTAGTACAAAGGAAGGGATGCTCAGTTGTGCACCCAGGTGCCCGATAGACTGCCTGGAATATGGAAAACCCATCTCATTAAGCATCCAGAAAAAAATGGAATAGGATTTTGGACAATGAGAATCAAGAGGACTGAACACTCTATAAAATGTTGCCCACATATCTGAGTATCTTTCCCTCTTGGTGATCTCATGAGAATCAGGGTGGCTGGCCCACAAAGCTTTTTCACTTGAAAAACCCAACACAATAGTTACAGGACCTGCCTGGTTACAAATGGCCCTTTCAAGAGACAGAACATTCTCTGCTTGTAGGATTTAGACCTTCTGTTTTAGGTCAGTGGAGTCCTGACAGCTCTCTGGCAAGGCTCCTTCGGAAGGCCATGCTTCAGCTTGCTTTTATACAAGCACTGCTAAACTCTCTCACAGCCTCTTGCTGGATTTGCCCCTGGCCCACTAGGTTCAACGATTGCCTTCTGGGGGGAAGAGATTCATCTACTCCTGTCCTCCATTAAAATTTATTTTGCATTATTAATCTTGGCCTTGCTCATCAGACAGGGGGAATAAGCTGAATATATTTATTCATGACATGTTTCTTCAGCTTTTCATCCGAGCTCAGGATGGTGTACCGGGTTATTTTTTGCTATCAACCCAGTTTATCCTCACAACAGCCCTGAAAGGTAGGGATATAGCAGCTGCCCAGACTTCAGTCAATGAGCTTTGTAGTTGGAACAAGTTATCAACCAGAATCTTTCAAATTCCTGGCTTATAATCAAATCACGATCTACCACACTGTTGTGGAGCACAGTGAAACCCTAGCTCCCAACTACTAGAATTCTTAGGGTAAAAGTATACATTATTTTCAGGACAGAACAAGCAGCTACATCTGACCCCCTCAACACCGCAAAACTCAAAGTTAAGTGCAAGGAATCTGTTCTGGATCAGGAGTTTCTGTTCTTGCACTATGTATCACCAAAAAGGATCCAGTAAGACAAAGCTCCTAAATTGCCCAAATGCAACTTCTTAACAGGGTGGCAGAGTTGGAGTCATTCCTTACCTCCTCCCCTTGATCAAGAGAGGACTGCAGGATTCAGAGGAACAGCAGTCTAGGGCACAAGGGTGCCCCTCACTCTGTCTAACCCTATGACTGCAGCATTTCTAAGACATCTGAGCCAATGCAAGCTTTTGGGCCTTGTTTTTCATTTAATCTTTGCTGAAAGGCACTTTTCAACTAGCCCCCATGAAATGTTGCCTGCCCTCCTCCAGGCTAAATTCTAGATGACAAAAAGATAGGAGGAGGAGGAAACCCTCCCATCTCTTTTGTACAGCTGAGCTAGCCCACAGATGACAATCCTTACAATAAGGTTTTCATTCCTTGCTCCAAACAAAATTCCTTGGACAGCACAAAACCGGCAGAGCCCCTCATTCCTCTTCTCAAATCTTTGCCTTGGTAAGAACAGACATCTTTTAGTCTGCAAATCCCAGTACTGCTCTATCAGTGACAGATTTAATCTTGCCTGTTGGTTCTCTTTTATCTACAACCTTTCCAACAGCATCCTGTGCTTCTATCTGGCCCAGCCAAGCTGGACAGGACCCTGGAGAATACAGGGGAGAAGATCACCATTTCAGCCCTCAATGGGCCCCCTAAGGGCACTTTCTTCATTGCAAAACAGCCAGTGCTTCTATCCCCACCTTGGGAGCTGCTTTTGGCCAAGCAGCAAGTGTAACATACCTATAGACAGACACCCGTAGCTCCAAAGACTACTTTACCAGAGGAAAGGGAGGGCTGGCTTTCTTTCCAGCATTCTTGGCTGCAGAGTGACCACCACCCTCTCCCTCCTGAAGGACCCTTTTCTCCTCTCTACCTGCATAACACCAACAACTGAGCTCTCCGCCCACCACAGAGGGCAGATACCTGAAAGATGGCCATCAGTTTGCATTTAACTAGCTTCCTTTGTGAAAGCTTGAACCATTGCTGGCATGTGTGCCTATATACAAATAATATGTGTGTGGCTTTGTGCCTTGTCCTTAGATCTTTAAAGAAACGTTTCCTTAATACAACAAAGCCAGGGCTAATGAAACTTACAGATGCAGAATCTGGTGAGTCATCCTCATCGGCTTCCTCTCTATTGTCTTCAATTTCCTCCATCACTTCTGCCTTCGCCTCTGCCACAAGCTCTCGCAGGGCTCTGTTACTAGTGACCTTGCTGACAAAGGAATGCTTTGAAAAAAAATCAAGAAGTTACAATTATTTACTGGAAGTATCCATTTACTGCTTCTTAGCTCATGAGGGCTCTCAAAGCACAAAGAGAAAGATAAAAAACATCCTTTGAAACAAAATAGCCAGCACAGCTGGTCGTGAAGTCTGGGAAGTGCAGTCTAAGAACAACCTTATCCAAGGTTGAGGACCGTTGTCATAGTAGAATGAGCAGCCCTGCCATGCAAGAGCATGGCAGATCAAGAGGGACTTTGGGATTGCACAGGGATCACTTCCAGCAACTTCCTTAACTCATCAGACCCAAGAAAATTGGGGAGCACTGGTGTGCATCAGACAAAATGTGTCTTGATAGATTGAGTCCAGTCCACGGGCCTTCCACCTGGTATTCTTGACCAAGAAAGTTGCTATAACGGAGATCCAAACACACCCAAGCCTTACTGAATTGTTTGTACAAGAACACTATTCCCACAAGCAGCTGAAATTAAATGGCTTTTAAATCCTAATCTGGTCAGTAGGGAAGGCCACAGAGGGACCAGAGTAGCTGAAGTTAGTGTTTTATGTCCCACATGCAAAGGAAATGTTGTACCACATAAAATCATGAGCACACATTTTGCCCTACTGGGCAAACAGTGGAAGCAAACACATAGGTTCAGCCACACGGCCACCCACCACCCCACAGTTAACTGAGACTGCAATCCTTCACACACTTAACTAGGAGGAAAGCTCACTGAACTCCATGAGGTTTGCTTCCACTGTTTGCCTTGTTAATGCTCAATGCAGTTATTTCATATGTAATTTCTTCTCATTTTTTAAAGGAGAAAAACAATCAGGCCTATGCATGGAAGGGAAGGGTCAAATTTTATTTAGTAGCTGAAGTCAGTGTTTTATGTCCCACATGCAAAGAAAATGTTGTACCACATAAAATCCTGAGCACACATTTTGCCTTGTTAATGGTCAATGCAGCTATTTCATATGTAATTTCTTCTCCTTTTTTAAAGGAGAAAAACAATCAGGCCCATGCATGGAAGGGAAGGGTCAAATTTTATTGCACCTGGAACATTCTTTCTGGAAAAGATCAAACTGTTAAGCACATGTGAATGGGTCCTAAACTTGAGAGGTGCTAGTCTGTCCAGGGTTGACAACACTGATTATTCTATGTAACACATAGAAGCCACTGTATAGACAGAAATCCTGCTTTTTCAGGGTTGACAACACTGATTATTCTATGTATCACATTTGGCTCTCAGTACTCTTTTCCCCCAAGCCACTGTATAGACAGAAATCCTGCTTTCCTTTTATAATATAAGTTTATCAGAGGCCAAAGGATCACAGTACAACAGATAAGGACAGCGGTTTCAACGAAAACATGAACACTCTGCAACCACCGAAGACAGCCCAGGAGAATTTTAAAACATTGTGATGTTACTAAGAATTGTAGCCACCAACTTTGCATTAAAAATGCAAAAGGGGAGAAAACCACACACACACACCTTTTTCCTGCTATAGACAAGGGGGGGAAGGGGGTGAGTGGGAAAAATAAAAGCAACCAGAAGTAGGAAAAATAGATGTTGCAATGGCTCTCATCTCACTTTAGAGTGTTGTGCGCTGGAGAATCCTATCCCCAAGAAGCTAGTCAAACTGATACATTTATATCCCGTTCTAGGGCCTGGTGAAGCTCTTTTTCCCCTTAGGAACCATATGTGTAGCAGTGAAGCCCAAGCCTTCTACATGTTAACCACCCAAAACCAGATGTGTCTGTCCTCCGGGCAACCGTCTGGGGAGGGCCTCCACATCCTCACAGAGCATCAGGCCCCTTATGAACTGGGGTCATTCTTGACGTGCTGTGCTTACTTACCTCCAGTAACTGAGCTGCACTGGGCCGCGTCTCAGGGTTCTTGTCAAGGGCAGTCTTCAGGAAGTCCCTAAATTCTAGAGACCTTCAAAAACAAGGGTAATCATTTTTAAACATCACTACAAGAGGCTGTTATCAAGAACATGAGGAGAAGGAACACTGTTACATCCATCTCGTAAAGCACATCCCTTATAACTTTAACATCATGATCAAACATAATGATCTGTACCTATGGGTTGAAAGGAAGACCTATCGAGATGAATCAGACACAATCTGACTCTAATTTAAAACAACAACAACAACCTCTGAGTTCCTAAAAATGCAGCCTAGTTACAGATTTCACACTTCTTTATAAGCTCAAGAGCACACAGCTGTTCAGAAACAAGCGACATGCTGTCACTTTATTCCCAATACATGCCAAAGCCCCAAAGTTCGCAAGCTCACATGAGGACAATGGTTAAGCTTGAGCTTGTGTTAATACAAAGCCTTCTGCAAGGCAAGTGATTACTGCTCCCCCTGCCCCCACCCACTCTGCTGTACCTCTTTATCAATGCTGGTTTCCATGTAACGGTAGACTAAAAGCACTGACCAGCAGTTTCTACATACTGCTGTCACTGAAAAGGTATCACCAGCACTTTTACCCCTAGACACTCTGCCGCCCTGTGATTTTTCAGCAACAAATAGCATGCTGTCTTGTTTGCATAGAACAGATCGGTGGGGAGGGGAGAAATGAGCAAATTGCCTTCCTCCTGTTCATTTCTCTCTGGACAAAGGAGAATTGTAGCTAGATGGGCAGGGTCCACATACAAAAAATACTCTCTGAAAAGGGGAAAGAATAGGCTGTCCAGATTGGAAATGTGCCAGCTGGATGAGCACAATCTCTACAGCTAACCACCAGATACCCAAAACAACTGAACAACTCTGAGACGCCTGTTAGGGCCACAGGAAAATTCCTTCTGCTAGAATAAAGCAGGAAACTATGGCTCTCCTGCCTTTTGGGGAAGGCACACCCCACCTACAATTTCCATTAACCACAACTCATGGACAGGGATTCTGGAAGTTCTACTTCCCATATATCTGCTGGGCTAGCAATGCCAATCACGTGTCTGACTACCAGTGTACTTGAGCCACGTATCTCTATTAGGATTGGCAATGGCTTCCCAAGGGCCCCAAAAGCAGAACATCTTCCCTATCACTTGTTTCTAGATTCATTTAACTGGTGAGGTCAGGGGTATGCCATGAGTATGTTCCTCCACTGAGCTATCAACCTTCCCATTGGATACCTATGTTCGATACAGATGTTGCACCTGTTAGAAATGTGTGATACTATTTCTCCCAGTGTCAGCCTATTACATTTTGACAGCTTGAGAAAAGCCAATATTACTGCAAAGAGGATGATGGGAATGGATGATGAGTAAGAAATGGAAGACCATTTTCCACTTTCTGTTCCAAAACATTGGTAATCCTGTAGGAAAAGGGGGACACTTAAGTTTAAGTGATTTTTTAAGGAGAAGCAAGCACATGCAAAGGTTTTCCTTTCTTTGATCTCACCAAAAAGAAAGTAAAAAGCTAACAACTGTGATAAAGCAGAAGGAAATAGGTACTAGATCCATCAATTGCTGATCTGCTGAGGACTTGTTAGAAGCAGTCACCTTGAAGAAGTACGTCCTGGAGGCACTGTTGCAGAAAATTCTGCAGGCTGTTGGTAGTCTGGGCAGAAAACTGGACCATATGAAGAATACTTGGCCAATTGTACTGATGTTAAGTAGTATTTGTATTCAAGTTTGTATCTATCAAGTTTGGGTACCCAGATGTTCTTGGATTACAGTTCCCAGAAGCCTTCATCACCACCTGTGCTGGCTAGGATTTCTGGGAGTTGTAGCATGACCCATGCTTGAGAACTACTGCTCTAGAGTTCAGGATGGTACACCCTGGATTATTTCCCTACACTCTGCCCAAAAGCACTGGGGTTGGTTGGGCTAGGAAAATATTTTATCCAAGTAAACACCTTGTTACTCTGTGGACTTTATGGAAGAGGGGCAGGGATATGTACATACACAGCAAGGATTCAGTAAAAGGAGCCACTGTTGCAGTCTTGATCCAGCAAACCAGGCTTCTCCATTGCAGTTCTCTTCAGATCTTGCTGGATAGAGACTCCCATTACCCCTCTAGGTATTCTCTCCCCACTGCCCTTCTGCAGAACATTCCCATCAAGTAGTTTCCACCCAGGAGTGGCAACATTTTACAACACAGGTGAGGAACCTGTGCTCTCCCTGCCATGTCACTGCAGTCCAGTCCCCATCATCCTGAACACTGGGCTTTGGTGACTAGGTTGATGGGTATTAGAACTCCACAACATCTTCAGGGCCACAGGTTTTTTTCCATTCCTGTTTTAAAGCTTCTTATGTCTTTATTCTATTTTGTCATAGAAGGCAACGTTGAATAACTTAGCAAAAACCCCATTTGCAGTCTATACTGGGCAACCAAAGGGAAGCAGGTGAGTGACAGATCCACATAATTCCTGACTTTATATATATTCAGAAGCACACATCCGTAAAAAAAATCTTCTCACCATTTGGAGGGATTGCTAAGAGTGGGTGGGTCCGATTTCGCTATTTTCAGCAGGACTCTCATAGGATTGAGTTCATGATGAGGGGGCTCTATCTGGGCCATTTCTATCAGTGTTATGCCCAAGGACCAGATATCAGCCTTGTAATCATAGGGGGTGTCTTTCATGGTCTCACACATCACCACTTCAGGAGCCATCCTAAAATAAAACAAAACACAACGAACAAGAGCAAAGAAGTGTGAGTCCCGACCCAAATACGTTACTACCAACTGTGTTTCACAAACAACCCACATTTCTACTCCATTGCTAATTCAACCAGTCATTAGCGTAGACCTGATCACAAACCCCACATACGGTATTCCAGCTTGGTTCTCAATAAAGTAGGAACAAACTTTCCTTTCGTTCTTAATGTTAACTGGCCAAAGTTGAACCTTTGAGTATAGTCTGCCAGGCCCACTCAGAACACACAGAACGCACACACCCTCATCTGAGTTAGGATGTTAAGGAGGATGAGACTGGTTAGAACTTGGATGGGAGACGTCCAAGAACCAGGGAACTCCAGGAAGAGCTAATGAAAGAATTGCATCTTGTGCCTAAGAGAGCTGCTGCGAGGAAGCTAAACAGAATGTATGCTTCCACGAAATGCAACTTCCTAAACAGCAGGACTAGGACTGGGGAGATCTGGTTTATAAATCCTCACTCAATCATAAATCTCACTCAGTGACTTTTGACCATTGAGCCTAACCTGTACCTCCCAATGTTGTTGTGAGGACAAGCATAGGGAAGAGGGCCATGGACACTGCCCTGAGGTCCTTGGAATATAAATGTAACAAAGAAATAATAATTAAAAAGCAAAGACATATGTTTGCATATGTGTAATTCTCCCATTGCAATGAATGGAAGGGGAAAATAGTTAACTGTCTTTGGACAGTTTTCTCCCCTCCACGCACATTCATTTCTCCATTCTTATTTGGCCCGGAGAACAGAAAACCAGCAGGACAATGACATCTAGCCTGGATGCTGCTTTAGAAAGCAAATCAATGTGTTCACTGATCGTATCCCTCCTCTGCAAAGTGGTTGACTGAAAGATTAAATTCCTGGAGTGAATTGTTGCTTTCATATACTTGGAACTGCTTCAAATGGACATTTCACCAAACAGCAAAGGGCGGGATGGAGGGAGGAGGGGAAACTATGACCAGATTTCATCAGTATCCTATTCCACCTATGGGTCTTGTATACATCTATCCATATTTGATCGTGGCCTGTGCAAGTATGTCATAATTAGAGATGGGGACAACTCACCATTTTGGCAAGTCGTCCTGCTTCGTGATTCGTCAAAAGCTGATGAAGCACAAAGCTCCCCCCGTGAACACATGAAGCACGAATATTTGTCGATATAAACATGCTGCCCCCGCCGATGCACCCCCGCCAATGCACCCCCACTGTAATCACTCCAGCTGGCTTCTGCAACCATGGACTGCAGTAAGGGACACTGGCTGCCCTTTGCAAAGATGGTGGCTGCGGCTTCATTTAGGGTAGGGAAGCTGCAGCTGCCATCTTTGCAACGGGCAGTTTCGATTCCCTTAGTCTGCCTTAACGAAATCCAAGCTGCCCTTTGCAAAGATGGGAGCTGCAGCTTCTCTACGTTAAATGAAACTGCATCTTTCCAAAGGGCAGCCAGTATCCCTTTCTACAAGCTGCAGCTGTGGAAACCAGCTGGAGCTGGAGGCGGTATGGGCGGCGATTACAGTGAGGAGGTATCGGCAGGGACGTCGGCAGGGGGCGATGGTGGTGGTGGGGCGGCCACTAAAGTAGAGAGAGGAAGGGGTGGAGGACAGGCTGTGGGGGTGGGTGGGTGCCTATCAGCTTGCTGATCAGCTGATTAGCAGGACGATATGCAGAATGGGAAAGCCACAGGAAGAGAGGGAAGGCTACTCTTCCCTCTCTTCATATGGGGGATGAATACAAATGGGGAAATATCTATCCCTTCTATTTCATCGGGGTCTCTGGAACCCACGAATATGAAGGGATGAATATTTAATGAATCAACGATTTCTGATGAATATTGCAAATTATTTTTTAATTCATCCCCATGTCTATTCATAATTCATTCACTCACCAATATGGTGTGCCGATGAAAGAATCTCGTCTTTGTAACGTCCTCATGTTTTTGGCAGACACTCCAAAATCAGCTGAAAAAGAGTTTAAATCACATTACACATTCTAAGCAAATTAGTAAGGGGTTGTTTTCTAACACAAAAGCCAGAATGCTGTTGTGCAGTTACCCCAGCTTCACACCAACAGTGTAACTTTTGGAGGCCAACTGTCTCAAGTTAAGAAATCACTGAAGAAACCATCTGATGCATAATGAGTTGCACAACTGAATGAACAACAAATAATACGTATGGTAATTTCTTAACTTGAGGCCATTAGCCTTCAAAAGCTATGGTGTCTGCATTCTTCCACTATAGCTAAGAACGAGGATTCTGGCTGGGGAGCTGAAAAGGCAAAAAGTGTCCCCCACCTCATCACCACTTCAAGACACTCTCTCAAAACAAGTGGCAAAATCGAAGGGACCTGTGTTATTTTCAGCCAGGGTTGGCAACCTGTGGCCGTCAGGTGATTGTTGCACTTCATCTCCTGCTACCCCTGACTGCTGCCCATGCTGCATGGGGTTCATGAGAATTACATCACAAAAACATCTGGAAGGCCACAGGATCAACCCTGGACTGCAGGTGCCCCCTGAACATCAAAAGATGCAAATGAGAATATGATGCTGATAAGCTGGGAGTTCTAAGCAATGCAGAAGACGTTCATTATTTGACAGCTAATTAATCTGCTCCCTTTCTCCCCATAGGGTACCCAAGGCAGCTCACAACAATTAAAATCGTACAATAATGCCAATTTAAAAATACCATACAAAACGATATATTAAAAAACAATTAGACATTGATCAAGATTAAAAACAATTTTATAAACCTTTTAAAAATATTTAAAAACATCTAAACCCACACGTATTGCTTAAAAGCCTGCCTGAAAAGACTTGCAGCCAGTGAAGCTGTTCTAATAAGGGAGTTACATGCTCCCTATAATCAACACCGGTCAGCAGTCTGGCTGCATCATTTTGAACCAGCTGAAGTTTTTATACACCCGTCAAAGGCAGTCACCTTAAATGTACAAGACTCAAAGACTTTTGCTTGACTTTTCAAGCTAAAATTGTGCATTTTTTTCTCTGTGCCACCATAAGAAGGGAACCAGAATGAAGCCCTTCTGTCTCTGTTTCTATTACAGTAACACAAGCCTCAGCAAAATCCCAGCACACCTTTAATTGTTTGTCTTTTTCAGCACTTCCTGCTGTTGTTTGCACTTCCATTTCACGCAAGGGGTCCCCCCTAACACACTTCCAAAAAATGTCCTCTGCAAAAGTGATGTAAAGCCGGAAATGTCAGCTTCCTCCCTTTCACATCCCCCAACAAACTACACTCTCTCCAGTTCTCACAGAAAATATGTCAGTTCCTGCCAGGACTCAAAGAGAATGGTATGTGTTGATTTATACACAATCCCATGTAGAGCAATAAGAAGAATGCTGAGTTCACCACTCTCTCTTCCAGTATATACTTAAATTCCTGCACCTACCATCTCTAACTTGGCCAATCTCCTTAATCCTAATTTCATTATTATTGGTCAACAAGGGGCAAGTGTCTTCCTCAAACAGCGTCATTTAGGACTCTTGGCAAGCTACTCCAGTTCCGGAGATGTTCATTGTGCTGGGTGCTATTATCAAACGCAGTAGAACCAGTGTTGTAGTGAAGAAATAGGGCTTGCCAGAACATTTTGATTAGGAGGGACATATCATGACATAAACCCAACTGTAACACATCCCATAGCTGGAGAGGCAGTTAGATTTTCTTGTAACTATGTGGAAGTGGGAGCTGTTCTGAATGTATTTGGGGTTGGCTTGGTCTCAAATGGGAAGTTGAATCTCATTAGCTTTGTGAAAGACCTGTTTCTGGTAGAAATCAAAGCTGTCAGAACTGGTCTATTGCTATAGATTAACACATCAGCTGGCATTTTTGGATTCTCACTGTGAGGCATGACTATGGAGACCTCTCATGAGTGCTAAGACTTCAAAATCTGCCACTATACCTCTGCTTGGAATGGGCATTGGCTATGGAAAGATAGAAAGCTGAAGGGTAATGCAAGGTGATAGTACAATGGAGGAAAGGTGGACTAAGATTTGGGAAAGTTGGGTGCAAATCTCCCTTCAGCCACTGAACTCATGGATGACCTTGGCTCAGTTACATGTACTCTGAAGTCTAATCAATCTCAGAGGGTTGTTGTGGACAAAAGAGGAGAGCCATGTATACTGCCCTGATGTCACTGGGGGGAAGGTGGAAATATAAACACATAGATAAAACAAAATATGGGGAGACAGATTAAGAAGGAATATCAAAACCAAGAACAAAATAGCTCATGTGCAACCCAACAGTTACTCTGTCCAAGAAAGATTTACACTGATCTCCAGAGTTAAGCAGCACTATATCTGCTTCACAAAAGATCTCTGAAATTGCTCATTACAAAAGCATCCATCTCCACAAAGAGCCACTTCCAGGAGTTAAGAGTGGAGAGCAGAAATGTCACAGTAGGACAATGGAGCACACAGCGCCCACCCTGGCAATTTATGTAGGAGTGTGGAAGAAAGGTGGCCTTCAGACAAAGGGGTTCTATCAGAGGGATGAAGGCAGTCCTTTTCATTTGGGCATCAGGAAGCAGGAACAGAAAAACAAGCTGGGGGGGTTTGCACTTTTATCACAGTAGCAGACATTACATTCCACAAAAGTTCATAAAATGACGTAAGGGAGCTGACCTCAAGCTTCGCTGACCCCACACAGAGCTAACCACAGACACATAAATTGCTTGGACACTCTTGAAAGGAGGCAAAAGCAGCGGCAAGCACGGAAAATATGCAAACACGACTGGCTGCACAGTGATTTCAGATACTCGGTGGTTAGGGGCAGGTAATGGGTTTCTTTCCTATTCAACCCCTTACCCTTTACTGTATTTCATCATAAATGTGGACTCTAAAGGCAGAGAAGCCTTTCCTTACAATCATCACTTTACCTCTTTCACATTCCACATCTCTTTCCATTGTCTCGGGACCCACCAGCATTTTTGCTAAACCAGGATTCTACCCCTGGATCCCAAACACCCAATTTTTCACTTTTTTTGGGGGGGGGGGTCTTCACTAAGCTGCTTGGGGCTTTGTTACATCTTAAATACTTGGGTATCATAATCAAACTTGACCACCTCCCAATATATTCCTAGCGCTTGATATTTTGCAGTCATCATCATCTTAGAACTGCAGAGCTGGAACGGACCCTATGGATCACTGAGAGCTCAGTCCCTGTCAAAGAGGCACAGTGGGGATACTCTGGTTTCTCTTCAGATCGTATAAATCTTTCGTCTTTTACTAAAGAGGCACAGTGGGGAATCGAACTCCCAACCTCTGGCTCTGGAATACTAATACAGTATATAAAACTTCGGTCCCAAATCAAGGTTCCCTCCACGTTGTGCGGTTGTGTAGAGCTGTACTGATGCCCTGCACCCACAGTTCGTGTTGCCGCTTGTTTGGTTCTGGTCGCGAGTGGAACTTTCAGTGCGTGAGGTGGGGCTTCCATTCAGTCCTGGCGCAGCTTAGAAGGAATGCTGGTCCCAATACAGGTCCATGGGAGACGATCACAGTAAAATCAGTTTATTCCTGCTCTCTGTTCCATGTGCTTTAACAAGTTGTTGACCCATAAGACCCCTTCCCTTGTCCTTTGATGGCTCAACTTAGCAAGAGATTTCAAAAACTTTTTGAACATCCAAATAAATAACGTCTAGTAGATCAGTTCTGTTGACAGTTTCTGACATGATAAAGGTTAGTGAGAGTGGACTTATCTTTGAGGAAGTCATGTTCATTCACCTTCAGAAAGACTTGCCTGTAACAACAGCCTTTGTTGTTTTCACTGTAACAAACTTAACACAGCCACTCTACATGGAACACTTTTACAATTCAGTTTATAATTTTATTTTAATAATGTTCACCAATTTACCCAGAACAGATGGTAAATGAACTGCCTCATAATTTCTGGGAACCCCCCCCACCACCACCACCAGGTCCTTTTTAAAAAACTGGTGTTATACTAGCCACTCTCCAGACTTCTGGCATGGAGGCTGGTGTCAGGGAGATGTTACATATTTTTGTGTGAAGATCAGCAATTTCACATTTGAATTCTTCAAAAACTCAGATGGATACCATCTGGACTTCATGATCTGTTTGTTTTCAATTTGTCAATAAGGTCTAGATATTTCCTTTTTTGTGACCACTGAATGACATGGATTAAAAGCAGCCTGTCAATGTCAATCCAGTCTTTTTTTATGAGATAAATTACATGCTAGCCTAAGTGACAGGGGAGGGGGAGTGCAGTGGTATTCTGTCCCCATACCAGCATCTCTTTGTCAATCTGACAAGCAATTTCTCTGTTGCTTATCATAAGAAATGTACTCACAATTAATATTTTCCCAGCAATTTGCCTTGATCAACAACATTAAAAAAGAACAAAGACCACAATCCTAGTCTTGCTTACCTAGGATTTATATCCCATTGAAAGCAGTGGGATTTACTTCTATGTAAGTACATACAGAGGTATCCATTGTGGTTTAGTGGACAGAATAATGGACTAGGAAACTGGAGGCCAGGGTTCAAATCTCCATTTGGCACTGGGAGAGCTAAACCACTCCTTAATTATCTCAATTACCTCGAAAGCTCTATTAGGGTCACTATAAGTTGGTTCCTACTTGACGGCCCATAATTAAGTATACATGTGACCTTTCTGAGAAAAGGTTCAAATCTCTGCTCTGCCATGAAACTGGTTGACCAACTTTCAGAAAGCCCCTACTAACACCCCTCCCTCAAACCAACTCATCCATCACAGACATTGCAAGGGAACAATCAGGATCTAAATGTCTCAGGAAAAGGGAGCAGGAATAAAAATCTAACAAGTTCTTATTGTACATCAGCAGGCTGGACAGAATTAGTGCACACATTTTTTTAAAAAAGTTATCCATGGGGTTAAAGCATACTGTAGTTCACGCAGTTTAAAAACGAGCTGCATCGACTATTTTCAGTTACCCAGTCAACCAGTTTCAGTCTCCCACCCATGTGCTATTTCTCATACAAAAGCAAACTATTTTCCATTACCAAGTTTGATGTCTCCATCCAGGGTTAGCAATACATTGCCTGCCTTCAGGTCCCGATGGATAATCTTCTTGCTGTGGAGGTAGTTCAGGGCCTCGAGCATCTGGCGGCAGACAACTTGGATCTGCGGTTCAGTCAAGCCTCGATCCAGCTCTGGAAAACAGGAACCATTAAAAAAATGCTCCTCTATGGAGCTTTACTTTGTCTTAGAGCTTGAATTAGGAAACCTACACACAGTATGACAACTGACAAACTGCTATTCACTTGACCTGCCAAATAGAAAATACACTTGAAGAGGATCAAGATACCATGTAGATGCTTTGGAAGAATCCATTAATAGGTTTCAGGCTAAATCCAGTGGTTAATGCCAATGTGATTTGGCACATCTGTTACGACAGATGTGCCAAATCAACAAGACTTATGTAAGTGCTTAACATGTCCCAGTCATTTAGTGGTTCTACTCAAGTTGGGACCAACATCTGGATATAGTTCCTAGTTCCCCTTATGAGAAATAACTACTACTTTTATCAACAAATGCTTTCACGTGTTGTTCTTTTAAAAGCTACCTTTAATATCTGTTCCTTCATTATTTTCAGAATCTGACGTATAGAATTTTCCCTCTTACAACAGTCTAGACAAGAATGGTTTAAAATGTACATGTCTGAATATCAGGATTAGGAAAGACCTAGATTCAGAAGAAATATTGGAACCGACTTCAAGATTGCTTAAAGCATTATAAGTAGGAAAAGATTTTTCACCCAAGGACGAAATTACAGTTTGGGAAGGATTTGGGGGGTGGTGGTTTGTAAATACCTGGCTTCAGAGCCCGGGTAAGAAGTTCTGTTCTCCACTGCATCTGCAGGGAGAAGACCTAGCCTGTGTAGCCTTGGGCAAGCTGCACAGTCCTAGAACACCTAGAGATTGCTAAAGGAATTTTACTGGCAGAATACAAGGAAGAGGCCATCTTTGTTCATTTCTCTCTAACCCTTTAGTCCCAAATGAGTTTCTTCACAGTTGTGGCTCACGAATAAAAGACATCATGGACAGGTCATGCATCTTGGTCAACCAAGCATGACCCAGGCTGTATGCCAAGAAGGGCCAGTCCACAAAGGAGTGGTTAAGTAGGACATCCATTCATTCAAGAATGAAAGATCTAATAATGAAAACCAAAACATCAGCGAAAGCTCCCGTTTCAGTATTTAATTTCTCACTCACTTCCACAAGAAAAAGTTGATTTTATTTTATTTCTTTTATTTTTAAAGTATTCTAAGCACACCTGGGGGGAGGGGACGACGACAAAAGACTGCCATTCCCTCAACTACATCTTCAATATCTTTCCTAAAGGTAAAGTTAAAGGTTCCCCTTGACATTTAGTCCAGTCGTGTCCGACTCTAGGGCGTGGTGCTCATCCCCGTTTCCAAGCTATAGAGCCAGTGTTTGTCCGAAGACACTTTCCATAGTCATGTGGCTGGCATGGCTAGACACGGAACACCGTTACCTTCCCACTGAGGTGGTATTTGTTTATCTACTCGCATTTTTACATGCTTTCAATCTGCTAGGTTGGCAGGACCTGGGACAAGCGACGGGAGCTCACTCCATCACATGGATTCGATTTTACGACTGCTGGTCTTCTGACCTTGCAGCACAGAGGCTTCTGCGGTTTAACCCACAGCGCCACCATGTCCCTTTCCCAAACAGCTATTCCTAAACACATTTCCAAGATATTCAGCTGCTATTATAAAGTCAAATCCTAATTCCACTGCATAACAGCCGCCTGCAAAAGCTAGCATTGATTGAGAGTTAAATTGACTAGGGATAAAAAAAAAATGCACAGTTGGAATTCGTTCCCTACAATGACAATCAATCTTTTTGAATGACTAATCATGTTCTTAATATGACTCCTTCCTCTTTTTCGGAAGACACACACACGCTGGGGAGTTAGGAGTTGTGGTTTTTATGCAATGCCTCCTTGTACAGGGTGTAACTTTACCACCTGCTGCCTTGAGTAAAGTGCCAAACATTTGGGACATGGAAAGAGTGATGGGTTCCACCTTGAGCCCTTCCTCCAGAACCAAATTCTCAGTTCTGGAGAGTGTCTGTGGAACAGGAGATGGTTGTGGCCAATCAAACTGGAAACTCAAAAGTCCTGAGGAAATGGAAAGCTCCCTTGTTCCTCCAACAGGAAAAGACTGCTCCATCTCTGCAATCCCTGCCTCAGTCACCCTTCCTTTCACCTTGAACCATCAATCGTAGCAAATCCAAGCCATATTCCATCATTACAAGACAGCCTTGCTCTTCAGAGATAGTCACTGCTGTTAATACTGTGTCCCCAGCCTCCATACCACAGGATGAAGCCAGCAGGTTCTGGGAGATGACTGCACAATACCCACATATTCACCAGCCATCTTGTGTTAGAAGTAAAGCAATGCAAAATCCCTTCTCTACAGATGACTTCTATATGCTTGAATCTCTATGCCACGTCCACACAGTCACCTTCAGGCTATTAGATGCCAGGCTTTGAGCATAACTATGAAAACTTGTTCTCCCAACTTCCTGCAGGGATGGATGATAGGATTCCGACCTTACCCTACATCAGGCAGAGGTCAGTGTTCATTTATCTGTCAACAGAGCTCAAAAGCCGCCTTGTTCCTCCAACAGGAACCAGGGAATAGCTTAAAGCAGTTTCTTTATTACAGAGAAGCACTTACCTAACATAGTGGCATCTACTGCTCCACCAGGGCAGAACTCGATCATTATCTACGAGAAAAGAAAAAGAGAGACTATTTTAAATGGGCAAACAAGAGCTTCTATTCCAACTGAGCTACTATCTGGCAGAGGTTGGACTGTAGCTAGAAGGAACCGTAATAATTATGGTTCCTATGCTCATAGAGAGAACAGCAACAACTGAGCCAATTTACTTTGCTCTTGAAACATTAAAATAAGTTCCAACTGAGCTACTATCTGGCAGAGGTCGGATAGAGAGACCAGCAACAACTGAACCGATTTACTTTGCTCTTGAAACATTAAAATAAAATCAATGCATGTACTGCTGCAAAAAGGAAGAATACTGAATCCCCACTCTTTTTTAAATACAGACATAAATAGACAAATAATATGCACAAGCCAATGACTGCAAGAGAATGAATTAAAAAATCCCATTTATACCTTTTCCTAACAGAAATAATATTGCCAGTAGTTCAGCTGCATAAGGTCCTTTGAGTTTGAAGGCACTTTAAATAAACTCAGACCAATAGCCTCCTGTGTAGCTATGCAAATGGTGTAACTTTTGCAGGCAAATTGCCCCAATTTAAGAAATCACTGTAGATATTATAAGTTACCATGTTGGGTCATGTAACTCAGTATGCAACTGATAATGTCTATGGTGATTTTTCAGTTTGAGGTAATTCGCCTCCAAAAGTTACACTGCTTGTGTTGCCCCAACATAACTAGGGTAAGAGGATTTGGGCCTCAGAACTGCGAAGTAGGTTATTATTGTTCATTCCCTCTTACTCTGGATGCTTAAAACGAAGGATAATTTGGCTGTGGCATCTCTTGAATTCCTGCCAGAAGTAAGTCCTTATAGGTATTATTTTACTCTAGGTGGCACCTGTATCTCTTGAAGAACCTGTATCTGAAAATATCTCTCACAACCTCTCACAGAGAAAACACAGGAACATAGACTCTTGGCATCAGCACATGAGAAACATCCTTTGAGATCATTACACTCCCAGTACAAACAAAAATGAACACCACCAATATACCTAGAGGCCTGTCTGAAGTAGCCTAAAGATTCATGCTCTACTTAAGCATTAATTTGCATTTTGATTGAAGCTTCAACTGAGGGCTGCTCCTGATAACTTGAATTTGGCAAGTGGATGAGATAGTTGTCATAGTTGAGAGATGATGTGGAAACAGCAGCTCAGAAGCATCATAACTCTCTCAACATCCCTGGCTCCTTTTTCCAATTTATGTTAACTCAACAATCTGATATTATCCCTGGATTTTGTTCTCCAAACTGCAAACGGCACCCAACTTCATATAAATAAAGCTATGGCCAGGTCTCAGGACTGGTTATTTCCCTTTTCCCTTCACTAAAAAGAAAACAACAAACTTCCTGTTCCTGTCGCAAGTACAGTATTCTTTGAAACAAGTCTTTAAGCTAACCCTTCATGTCACTACTAATCAGGCTGCATTTTATTAACTTTCCTTTACCACAACAAAAATGTGAAAAACAAACTTCTGACTTCAGTAGCAGTTAATCTCGAATCTAAACTTGGGAAACAAATCAAGGATTTCCACCTTACTGCCTATATTCATCTCTCTTTCCCTCTCTCTGTCAGATACATATTTTCTAAGGAGATATTATTTCTAGCTCCCGCCAGACATGCCCCCTTTTCCAAATTCAACCCCAAAGAGGCAACTGAGCTCCCAAGTCCCAACATTCCTGCTTCATGTTAAGTCTGGCTTGCCATATACTAAAACAGCGGTTCTTAACCTTTCTTTACCATGGGCTCCCTTTAAATAGCTTTTGTTGCTGTGGATGACCAAGACTTATCTCAAGATTAAAAACCCAAAGTGCATCAAATATTTATTTTAGGTTTCTTATGAAGTGTCTAATCAATAGATTTTCCTTGCTATAATGGCAACACTTTTAAGATGGCTGGGAGAAGCTTCATTTTGCTTTGAAAAAGATGCACCCTCATCAATAGCATCAGTTTGTTTACATTTCAGAGTCAGCCAGTGATCCATTTCTGAGGCTCAGCTAAAATGTATTGTTACAAAATTCACTGTGATAATATCAAAAGTCACTATGCCCGACAAAGTGCCCTGTGGGCAAGAGAGTTCAGGGGCCAATTTTCCACACCCAGCAAAGGCTGCACCTGCCCTGAAAATAAATAGCAATTATCAAAATCAAATGTTGCTGGAAGCCTGCTTCCGGTTTCATTTGGAAGTGGGGGTTGGAATTGTAGAGGGCCTGCACTTTGTTTTATTGCAAAGCCGCCACTCCTGGAGGCTTCCATTAGTACTTTTCTTTGGCAGAGATGACCCTGGATGGCCATATGTGGTGCCAGGGCTGCACTTTGCTCTCTTCTGTGCTCTATTCACAACCCATTTTTCCAGGGAGGAGAAAGTACTCTTCATTATACAGTACATGTAGTAAAACTCATAATCAGAACAGAGCTCCATTAATATCTCTGTAACAAGGTCACGTTGTAGGCCCCTCAAGGTGTACCAATCTCCTACAAACTTAATACTACTGCAATCGATGCTATGTTTATAATGACAAGCCCCACATAACTCCTCTTTTCTCTTCACTTTCCTATTTATTACCCAGGCAGTTTTTTAATCAGTCTAGAAAGATAATACACACAAATTCATGGGATTTGCCCCCTGCCTTCCCCAACAGCACTGCTTACTTTAGGAAGCACAAGGGACTAGACCAGAAGCAGCTCTATTCCTTTTTCTAGTCATTTTCACCTCCGTAATGAATTATACGGGAACTGGCCAGAGTGGCTGAAATTAATGGTGCCAACAGGCTGCCCCATCCCTCCTAATTGTTTTTTTAAATTCTCATTATTGCATAATGAAATTTGAACATATAAACTCAAGTTGTGAGCCATAGAACTGCTTTATTATTATGCTTAAATTAATTATATTTAAGTTAAACATCTTTTTAAGAATAGCTTTGCAACCTCTAACAAGCAAGATAAAATTCGCCTTTTCAAATCTTTGAACACAATCTCCACTCCTTTCACTGAAGGGGAATTAAACTCTTTCTCTGCTGAGAAAGCAAAGATTACTGTTGCAAGCTGGGTACCACCCTTCCTATGTGAAGAATTCATGACCTTTGGTTGCTCTGCTCACAAGCGGGCAATTTACTCAACAATTAATCCTGCAGGGGGAAAAACACCAAGAGGTAGGGTGTGTGGACATGAGACAGATAATTGTATATTATTGGGTGTGTTCCCTGTAACTCTCTGAAAAAGTCCCAGAACTTACACAAGCAAATTCTCTGTACAAACTATCTCAATGTTCTTAAAACACTGTTTTACACACCATTAATCCCTATAAAAGTGGAACAAATTAATGGCCCAGTGATAGAATCTTGTGCAAATTTGACTATGCAACAGCCAAAACATTAGAGAAAATGAAATGCACCTCACTGTGACCTCCTCTCCTTTCTTGAGAACTATAAACAGACTGAATAAAACTGACTATCCTGAACATCAGCTTCTAGTCCTCGGGCCAGGCCCTGGGCGATGGGCCTAACTAGATCAGCAGCAAACAGACAGGAGAAACCACCATTGTAAAGTTTTGTGCTGTAAAGGAAATATAAATCATACATGCATATCTCCAGAAATCTTTACAATGAAATCAGGCAGTATGTGAAGGCAGTCAAGTCACTGAGACACATGAAGGAAGTATTTAATGGAAAGTCTGGAACATGAAGAAGTAAAACTTCTTAAACATTCTTAAGAGGCCTCCTTTCCTTCCAAAACAGTCCAATGTCAACAAAGGCAGCTCCGCACAGGCTTGCCCCAAGACATTTTTCGTCTTGAACAAGAGGAGGAAAGTCTTCTTTCTGAGTAGAGGGCCCTATCCTGTTACAGTCAAGGTATATTCAATAACTCAGGTTTAAGGTTGAGTAAAAGTCAGGAAGAGGTGTTTTATGTTTTTGATATGCTCAGATGAAAAGCAATCAAGAATGCCTCCTCTACTCACAGAGTTCCATGCAAGTCAAAACTCTGGAATTAAAAAACAACTGGAATAGGACACGTGAACTCTCATACAATTAAATCAGTATCTGCAGTATCATATCAAAGACTAAGTCAAAGTGTGGTGCCTGGAGGCCGGCTGTAAGCAACTTTTTTGTGACACTGCCCAACATCATTCCTCATCACGGGGTGTGCCTGTTGAGGCAGCAATCTTCCCTTTTAATTTTGGGGTCTTGTGGCAGGTAAGCCAATTGGTGGATTTTTAAAAAAAATGTTACTCAGTAAATACATATGAACCAAATAGAAATAACAAGACAGAAAGTCTCACACATACTTTTTGGGCACTCAGTGATCTCACAAAACCATAGCAGATATCTGGTGACTTCACAGAATACAAAACAATCCTCAGTGGAAAAAAATGCATCAAATGTCAACAGATTGTCTGGCATACAAATATTCAGTAGGTGGAATTCAAATGACTAACTCTGGGCAAAACAGATTGCTTCCATTCTGCCATTATTCCTTTACAAAACAAGGAACACTATTCACGAGAGGACTCAGGAATAAGTCCTTATTTTTCCTGAACAGAAGAGCCTAATAGGAAAATATTTGGGAAAGCCACCTATCAACCCCGTGCACTTTACAGAAGGCAGAAAGAGTGGGAAGAGATACTCCAGGTAAACAAAATTACTTTTGGGGGTACAGTTATGAAATATTTATTCTAGCTGTTACCCAAATCATGGTTGGTAAGACCCATAATAAAACTGCAGAAAGGAGGAATGCCTTCAGTATTCAGAGTGCAAAATAAGTCATTTTCAGAATCCTGTATTTAGTAATTATGCTCAATATAGGTCTCCTAGTTGTCTTTCATCCATAATTTTAACAGAAGTTCACATCTACCTGATCCACCTAAAGACCTGGTGTTCCCTGATAATCTACACCACTCAGTCCACAACTGAGAACACTCACACACATCATAAAGGATCTACAGTCCATTCTAGACAACTTCCCAGTTTCACATGACTGTTGACATACAACAGA